TTGGTTTTCGTGTCCTGCCGCCCCAAGGGATGTTAGGACTTTAACTTTTTTCCAAGTAATGGGTTTTCCATTGCACCACTGAAAGTTAAACGTTTAGCAGGGGAGCAGAAAGCAACCAAGGTTAATCTTCACTTGGTTGCATTGGTTTGTGTACAAATTGATGTTTTGTTATGAAGGTGTTGCTTCGCCTTGCTCGCCTGGACATGAGTGGAACAGCATTGTTGTTTTGGCTTGTTTTGGAGGTGCTGTTTCGCCTTGCTCGCCTGGAAATGGGTGGAATATAGGGTCCCATGGCAAAGGGAGTCTCTTGAAACACTTGAGCTTTATGTGAAGTTGCAACGTCTTTGTTGCTGGTCACGAGCCAAGCCTCATGCGATGGGTCTCTGGCGCTTGGAGCCTACCTGTGGCTGTTTGGATTTGTTTTCCAAATCCCTTGGCTGATTTCCTTTTTTCTACTAGCGCACACTAACGCGCAATGAGAAATGAAAGGACCCTTGTACACCATCCAACCCGGTGGTTTCCATTAAGGGAGTCCCCTTGCGCTTCATTCCCTCATTCCCTACCTATCGCGCCAGCGAGTCGGTTGGAACCGAACTCCCTTTTTTGGCGGGGACCTCGGACCTATGGTAGGTGACTCTGAGAATTTGTGCGAGTGGCTTCAAGACCTCCAGCGCAGCTGCGAAGATTGGGAGCAACTCGGCGGGGCTCATTCGAATCGCCGGAGTTGGTGTGGTTGGTCGGGTTGGGTTGGGTTGGGTTGGGTCGGGTTGGGTTGGGTTTGCTTTGTTGGGTCGGGTTTGCTTCTTTGGGTTGGTTTGGCAAGTTTGCTTAGGTGTCTGGTTAGCTTCCCAATCCCTAAAATCGGCTTTTTTGGACCCCCCAGCATTCGACAGAAACCTCCGCCTGGTCGTTTGAGGCGAGTGGTGCGAAGCGTCCGCGCGCTGTCCCAATGTGGGCCTTTCGCCCTGGACCTAAGGCTCGGGGGGCAGGAATAAAGCTAGCAGCCTCCCAACTGCTGGCAACGGTGCTTCTCTCAAAATGTCGGGGTCCACTAAAATTGGTTTGAGAATTGCATGGTCCAGAATTACGGGGCCCACCACCCTCCCAAGTTCGAGAAACCTGGTTGTGGTTATTTGGAAGTTTCGAAAATGGCCTTTGGAGGGATGGGGAGTTGTTACTCCAGGGTGGTGGAGATGGTCAGAATTCCCTTGCCAAGTAAACACACCCTGCCCAGAAGACAAAGGTTGCACCGGTTGGGTTCAGCGCAGCAAGCCCAAGCATTTGACAAATCAAAGAGATCTACAGTCTCATTCCGCCGCCTTGATTTTGTGATGCGGAAAGGCCCAGGTAATGAGTTTGGCTGACATGTTGTGTCTCCTTCCAAAAGAGATGTGTTTGTCCAATTTTGGTCTGCATCGTGAACTTTCATGTGGTTTTCAGGTTGCCTTTTGATGCACATGGTTCTGGCTGATCATCCTATCATGCATTGGCTTCCAAGCACGAGCATCATTGAACTTATGCTTTTACCGGTACCCCGATATGGGCTCGTCCCAAACCAGTGGATCCATGATTTGCCTTGAATGAAATCTCATTCGGCGCCCTAATTGAGGTCGATTGCGGGTTGACTCGTGCAGTCTCGATTCAGTTTGACCTGGAGTCTGAAGCCGTTTACAAATGCCCTCCCAAACTGCCACCTTGCATGGCAGGTCTATTCCAAAGATTTGTTTTGGGAAACCACCACTTGCTTGAATGGTTGCTTTGGGTTCAGGCAGCAAGAAGTCTTCAGGTATGTCAATTTTCGCCTAGTCGCCAAACAGCTTCCGGTATCTCAATATTCCGCTCAGAACTGGAGAAGAAACGCAACAGGCAATAGTTGAGCCTTTTGTTTTTGCAAGATGAATATATCAAAAGGCGTGGCCTCTAAACGAAGACACCTACTTCCGGTGTGGTTCCCTTTGCCATGGTCTGAATCAGATGGTCTCATTGAACAATGGCCCTTATGGTTAAGGGGGTGTTGAGGATTCAATTGGTTGGGTTTTCCTCCATGGGTTATGGTCACCAACAATGTCGGCCGGCATTGCGTTTGACCCATGCATACACGATGGCACATGGCAGGCAACGCAACTGGCATGGCTAGACTGGATCTACTGCTATGGTCTGTGGATTATCACACGATTTTGCCACCGAAGCGCCCCTTCCCAGGTCATGGAATTTTCGGTAGATGTCCTTGCTAGAGGCTTTGGGTTTCCCAGCGGCTTTTGAACCCCGCCAATCTCCCATTTGCTTAAGAATGTATGTTGATTGTCCCTTGTTTTTGTGTTTTTTTGGAACTTATCACTGAACATATGTCTTTTGATGTTCTGCAAGGGCCTGACTCAAGGAAAAGGAAGTTCCATGGATCCAAAATTTGAACAAAGAAAGCCTGTTGAACCACCTTTCTTGGGGCCATACCCAAGCCTACCGAGACCCCAAGAACCTAGACGCCACGAGAGAAGCCGTCAACGGTGCCTTCCAGCGTTGTGGGATCACTCGGGGTTTCTCCAACCACTTCTGTGATACTTTTGGGAATCACCTCCTCTTTTTTTTGGGGGGGGTAGTCTTTTTTTTGGAGGCCCTTTCTGTTGTATTACAGATTCGTGCATTCCCCTAAGGCCACGCCTTCAAATTTGGAACAAAGCCCTTTGAGCCACCTTTCTTGGGCCAATACCCAAGGGGCCGGCCACCCCACCGATCCCAAGTAACCACCCCCAGACGCCGGAGAAGCCGCAGGTACTTCACCTTCATCGGCGAGCAGGTGGGCCCGGCCCTGCTGGGCCTCGCCACCTACGCGGTGAATCTGGCCGGAGCTCCTCGGCTCTGATTTTCTGAGCCTCCAATCAGAGCAGAGGAGCTGAATCCAGGGATCTGAACAAAGCGGCGAAATCCAGGCATCAAAATCGAGATTCCATGTCCATTTTGTCCATTTGGCTATGGGTCAACACCAACGGAATCCCACGCATTCTAGAACCTATTTTAGTGGTTGGATTGGGATGTTCACTGGGGGTAGGGGCTTTTGATTTTGACCGATGTCCATTTTTAGGGATCTGAAGCGTTTTTCCCCAAACAGCCTACTGTTGGGGTTCTTAATTGGTAGAATTGATGCTGTGACGAGTCCGTTTTGAGTGGAACACTTGGTGTTTCTTTTGGTAAGCTTGCTGATAGGTAGGGATGCCTGAGTCAGTTCCTTGTGGTTTGTTTCGGGGTCATTCCAACTTATTCCCTGCTGAGCACCAGCAAGTAACTCTAACTCCCCATTTTTTCCAGGGATCCTACTTTTGCTTGAGAGCCGTCCAAGCACCCAAGCGTGGTCGAACGATGGCTGACCAGAATGGGGACACGACTAAACTCGCTTCTTGTAACCGTGTGGGGTGGGGAATTCGGAGCACAAAAGCCCTCCCTCACTACTGCTGACGTGCGGTCCCTTCAAGCTGTTCTGATCTAAGTACCCTCCCACAAAACCGATATGTATAGTGGGCGCAACGGTACCCAACCACTGGAAGACTGCACAAGCCTTTTTCAGATATGCATACTTTGCCGTGGAAAGAGGGGCCTGTGCACTTCCATCTTTGCCGGGTTGATTTTTGCAGGTGTGACACACCACCTCAACTCTAGATCTCTACACCCCCTCTATTCCTTCGTCCAAGCAAGCCAAATAACATGTCCGTGGCCGGAACCTACGAGCGTGAAACGCGTGGCTGCTCTCGCGTGTTGCACCAATGGCAAAGGGAGAAGTCGGAAGAGCCCATCTCAGCGCGGCGGGGAGTCCGGCGAGCTATTAGCGGATGGCCCTTCCAAAAACCTCGGGCTTTGGGACGTGAACTGGCTGAAACGGGATGGACACTTGGGTTCAAGATATCGCGTATGCCAAACCCAGATCCATTTGCCGTAGCAGGGAACCAAGGGAGCCACCCAAATTCAAAGCCCAAAGGAAAATAGCTGTTTGCCATGCTCTTGGGTAGCATAGATCCAGTAAACCATTTAAACTTTCTTGTGGATATTTGAGTCAAGTTGGTTGCAGCAATGCCACTTTTAAGGGGCGGTAACCGCGCAAAAACGGCATGGCCCGTTTTGTGACGGGCAAAACCGCCATTGCGTTGAAACTCATGTCGACCCAGGAGTTGAGTGCGAAATGTTTTCCATTGGATTTCAACCATTTTGACCACTGAACCCCTGAGAAACGGCTTCTTGATACATGTGGCTTCGACTGAAATGATACCCGATGATCCCAGATTCCAGAGGTTCCCTTCTTCGTTTTGTGCTTGGCAGCTAAGGCGTGTTTCTTGCATGGCCTATGGGTTGCCGTTAAGTTTGTGGCGTTGCCCTTAGCAAGCTGAAAGCAAGCAGGGCTTGAATCCTTGTCGGCGACCATCATGCACTGTTGCCCCGAACCACCAGGGGTTTCACCTACAGGGCTCCTTAAAAGATACATTCTGTCCATTTGAATCATGGCTTTTTCCAGCGAAATAAAAGGAAACCACCATTTGCAAGGCAATGTTCAGGTGTTTAAGGTTTCCATTCGGCTGAGTCAAAAAGCGGAAGTCTTCGCCGGTGGCCGCTTAATGTGACGCAACAGCGAAGCGCAAGGGCATCCCTTTCGCGTTGTTATTCACTAGCTATTGTTTGTCGGTAGTCAACCACTTTGTTTAACATAGAAAAGGGAAAAGGGGTAGCCATCTTCCACGAGATCCCACAACTTGGGATGTGTAACGGCCAACAAATGAGGGCTCTGTTCTGAGGGGGTACCCTTGTCGGCCGTTTTTGTTTTTTGTTGCTGGGGACAGCACAGAGACACCACCAACTGGGCTTTTCCATTTTCATCAGGCGTCGGACACGTCAGAGCTCCGTCCCGTGCTCACTCGAGTCGAGGTCAACTCTGGCCGTCGCTTATGGAAGGCGACGTGGGGTCTGGTTGGTCTCCACTGGTCTTGGCGAAGCCAGCCATCCGGTTCCTTAGCTCTTTAGCCTTTTAGCGTTAAGTGGTTTGGTTTCCATTTAAACCACTAATGGTAGTGTTTAGTGGTAGTTTCTTAGCTTTTTAGCCTTTTAATGTTGACCCAGGATTAATAAACCCGTCCCACTAGGGGGGTGTTCCCTCCAAAAGTGGTCTGAGTCGACGGTTGGGGATTTGCTGTGGCACCCAAAGATGTGCTTCACCCTTTCGCTGGGGTCCTGGCCGCTCGTGACGTGACACAGTTGGTTTTGAATTCTAGTCTTGGCAGGGGTTTGCTTCCTCACTTCGTCACTTGTTGGGTTTGGACCATTTTTTCGCGGCAAAGAAAAAGGTGTCACTGCAAAGAACACGCACAAAGTTGTTTGGTCGCATTCCGGAGAAGTTGTTTGGTCGCATCCCGGAGAAGTTTGGCAAGCAGCTTCTGCTTTGTGGCACCAGCAAATGGAAGCCTGGCTTGTTTCGGACCCCCAAAAAAGAGGTTTCCCCTAGGTGCGGCATTCCAGGTCTGCGTGTGCACCTTAAGCCTGGCATTGGCTTTTCCCCCAAACGGGTTGTTGCAGTGGCTTTCGCCGGTTGGAGCCAGCTCCAACTATGCAAGAGCTTTTTCTTGTTTGTTGGCACTCGGCTGACAGGCGCAGGGGTGGAATGTGTGGTGTGTGTGTGTGTGGTGTGTGTGTGTGTGGTGTGTGTGTGTGTGAGCTTTTGATTCTGTGTGGTTTGTGCTTGTGGTTTGTGCAGGCTACCACTCACAAGGAGGTTTCTGGCAGCCCTACGGGTTCAGAGGCAAACCTGGCATCGCCTTAAGGCACGTCACCTTGTCCCATGGATGCAGATAGCCCTTCAATTTGCATAAGAAGAATTTGTTTGTTGGGTTTTGAAGGCAATCTATCGCTACAGGACATATATTTGTTTCCAAAAGGCGATTTCAGCAAATGGAAGTCGCCAAGCTGCATTCTGGAAGGTTGCAGCAAAATCGGACTTGTTCAGCTACCAAAAAAGATGGCGCAGTTTTCCAAGTTCGCAGCAGCAGTCAATTTACCGTCAACATCGTGTTTGTTGCCCGTTGGTGGCGAGGATGGCCATGAATCAGTGAAACGGGATTTGGGAATCGTCCCCAAGATCCTTTTGTATTGAGATATGAAGGGGGTGGCTATTTGCTCCTGTGTGTTGCCGCCCACGCAACTTCCGCGATGGACCTTGTGAAAGCAGTTGTTTTGTTTGGCTAAAGCTTTGTGAAACAAGCCACGTAAAAGCTCCGCAATGGAGGTTGAGAAAGTCAAATTGTTCTTCGTAAAAATGGCATATATCAAAACTAGGTAAATATGTAAATATGTCCAAACCGCCTTGACCCATTCCAGGAACATGGCCCATACTTTTCGGAGTGGGCGCATTCACATTTGCCCATCTCGTGCTTGGCGAGGACATGTCGGACTTGGTGGCGCGGTTCAGCAAGCCGGTGGCCTCATTGGAAGATATGGTGGGCGAGTTGGACTGGGGGGGAATTGTTTGTGGCGGTCGCACTGACACGCACAGAGACAGACATGGCCAGGGGTGAGTCTTGATAATACGGTGTCACAAAATATGGGAACCCCAAAACTGGTAGGTTTGCTGTTGCTATTATCCCTTTAACCCCCCCAAAAGGCAAAAGGGCAATTAATCACCCACAAAGAACGACATCCAACAATTGCCCTATTCGGTGGTTTCAATGGCTTTAGGGCCAAGTTAAATTCGGTTTCCGTGGATGACGTTTGAGAACAATATGGGCTCGCTGTTAGGCCAATCCTGAGGCTTGTCTGAACACATTGTGCCCAACCCGAGAAATGACCATGACTATTGGGGAGATGCCCTTCCAAATCGTGTCATTCCCTATGATGTCCACGAACGGGTCCCTAACTAAAATCATACCCAAGCGGGGTATCCGAAAATGGACAGTTGATTTTGGGTTGTCCCTATGAATCACATCAGAAAGGGAAGTGGGAGGGAACTTATCGGTTTTGGGCTCGAAGCAAAGAAGAATCTGAATGGGAACGACACTTTGGTGTCATCGAAAGGGGCAACCATGTTGCACAGCCATGCACACACACACACACACACACACACACACACCCACACCCACACCCACACCCACACCCACACCCACACCCACACGCGCACCCGGACCCGGACCCGGACCCGGACCCGCACCCGCACCCGCACGCGCACGCGCACGCGCACAAAGCACGGGCACGGGCACGCGCACGCGCACGCGCACACGCACGCACACGCCACGCGCACGCGGAAGCGCACGCGGACCCGCACCCGCACCCGCACGCGCACACGCACGCGCACGCGCACGAGCACGAGCACTCGCACGCGCTCACACACACACACACACAACAACGCATGCACACCTTCCAGACACTCAGATACACCCACTAACAGGGCCACAACGACACACAGCCAGACGGACGCACATACACACCGACTGACTGACAGAGGAAAACAGCAGTGGCCAAAGGGGCCAACTACCTCTTGACTTCGCCCCCCAAACTGCCCCAGCTGCTTTCCTGTAAAGCAACAAGGGTGCCAATTTTTCCCCACGGCTTGGTTCAAGAAGCCCCTGCATTTGGCTCCACGCAGGAGTTGCTGAGCAACGTCTATCAGAACCTGAACAACTTTCAGAATGACTGCTCCCAACTGACTCTCTGCAAGTGAGCCCCGATCGATCCCAGGTCACTGCATGGGTAGACTAGTGCTGTTAGTGTTCGATGGTTGCCTTGGTTTACAAGGGGAAACGCCTCAATTCTCCAGATGGTCACCTTCCATCCTTCCTCAAAGCATCCGCAGGTTTGGACATCCGGTCGACCTCAGTGTGGTGCTTGGATTGAATTCCTAAGGAACATCCCGGGTCGGTTTCCAGCTTGCCGACTTCGGATAGACTCGCTCTACAAATCAGGGTCCTTTGGGACCGGCACGCGCCAGATTCGTCCGAACGTTTCAGTGGTTTGTCCTTACATCCAACCAGTGGGGCAAGGCTAGTCTGTGCCAGGAACACTTGTTCAGTTTCCGATGAAGTTTTCTGTTGTCAGGCTGCAGCATGTCAGTTTACCCGAAGGGCCACCCCTCCGATGCAAACCCTCCGGGCCCCTTGAAAGCAACCAGTTGTTTGAGGGCCTGAAAGCAATCGAGACCCGGGCAGGGCCAGCCGTGTGTTATCCTCATTCTTTCTGGCCTCACGTCAACCTTAGGTGGTGGGAGCTGGAGTCGGATTTGAACCCCTGGTTCTTGTAGGTGGGAACGCCCTTCACCAAACCATCGATGCGGCTCCAAACCAATTGGGCGCCTTCACCAAACCACCGCTTCGGGGGCATCCGAGGACTCCCCTGGTGGCCGCGTTGGCATCCGTCACCAAGAGCTTCTTGCTGACCAGTCGCCTGCCCGACCTCCGCTCCACCGGTGGCTTGGGCTTCAAACGACGACACCTGAGGGGAGGTGTGAGGGAAGGGGGGGGCCAGCAACGGCTTCGGTTTTCCGGTCGGTTTCCCTTGAAAACCAGCCACAAGGGGTACCCCCCCCCAGAAAAAAATAAATAAACACCCTTTTGGGGGTCGTTGAAGGGAAGCTGATCAAAGCGAATCTGGAAACAGCTGGAACGCGTTTGGTTGAAAGGGATCCCGGATTCCCCGCGATTTGAGTCAAATGCCACTTCCATGGGCCAGGGATTTGTTCCATGAATCCTGGAACCCGTCATTTCGGGTTCCAGTGGGTTCAAGCCTGCCAGGTCAGCTTCATTGCAACGAACTCATGAGTCCAGTTGAGTCACCAGCCTCAAGTCGGGGAGCCGCAATCCACAGACGGACCTTGAGTGAGCTTCTAAGACCACAAGCGCGCAAGGCAGAACGGCCTCCGTGGAGAGCATGCCCGAGCGGTTCTTGCTGGATTTCCAGGACACGGCATGATTTTCTCATGCTTGGGGATATCTGGAAAAAAATCGGAGGGTCTTTCTGGGGACCCAGATTCGAAACCCGCCGGAAAGCATTGAGAATTGCCAATGGTTTCCTCATGTCAGTTACCCATTCGGGTCCCAAACGCCTGGATAGACAATGCCCAGAAGCCAAGAACCCGAGAGGTTTGGAAGTTCTTGCTTTCAATGTGCCGGGTATGTGGGAAGCACTTGGCGGACTCGTTTGGGGGGGAGACAAGGGGGTGCTTCTCCTACACATCCCCTTTTCTCTCGTGGGTTGTTTGCAACTGGGACCCTTCAGGTGTCCCTTCGGTTTCCTCTCCAAAGGACTCAGATCCGTTGCTATTCGGCCGGTGTGACGGAGCCTCATCCAAGCTGAGTTTCACCTCACCTCCTTGTGCTGAAGGCACCAGGTCTTCCGCGAACATGAAGCCCGCGAAACGAGAGTTCCTTCCTTTGAACCCAGCGCCTGGGGCTTTCCATGGGTCTCAAAACCTGGCGGTTTGAGGGTCCGAAATCATTCGGGAGCGTCTGGGAAAGGAAAGTAAATCGTCTTCCAGGCCCCCGAAACGTCGAAACGTCCAACGTGCAGCGGCCTGGAAGTCTTGGATCACAACATAGGTATGGGCTCAAAATTAAACCACCTGGAATTGGACCGCAGGTTTTCTTCCATTTGCTTAAGAATATTTTGTATTTTCCCCTGTTGGTTTTAAAAGGAATTCATCACTACTGGGCATAATTTTTGTTTGTTTGCTGCCTTAAGCAAATGGAAGAATTTTGGTCCATGTTTCCACTTACCAAATGGTTCCAGTTTTAGTCTTAGTTTCATTTGTGATTTGTTTTTAGTTGTTGTCTGGTTTTAGTCCAAATGGTTCCATTTGGGGTACCGGTTTCTTGACCCACCGCCAAATCGGTCGCCAACTTCATGCAGGAGGATGAGGATGAGAGGAAGGCAGAGGGAGCACTGGCAGGCCTGGCGTGGCGTGGCATGTTCCCACGCCGGGCTCAGCCCGGCTTTTGAAAGAGACGCCAAAAGGCGTGACGTACCATTTTTGGGGGTCCATTTGGCACATGCCCGATTAAATTTGGCTTTGAAAGAGACGCCAAACGGCGTGACGTACCATTTTGGGGGTCCATTTGGCACATGCCCGATGAAATTTGGCTTTTTAAAGAGACGCCAAACGGCATGACGTACCATTTTGGGGGTCCGTTTTTGGCACATGCCCGATAAAAAAGGCAACCTGAAGGCACGAAATGGTGGTCCACCTGTTGCGTTCAAAACCCGCTCTTCTCTGTCTTGTCGCTTGCTGTCTTCGTTCAGGGGCTGGGTCCAAAGCAAGGATTCGAACCTCAACGCTTCATTTGAACCAGCAGGTCGTCCTCAATCAGTTTCGAACCAGCTTCTGATGCTGCTTCTTGGTTGATAGTGACAACCGTGTAATTCAAGCACGACGGCAAACCCACACTTTCGGCCGCGAGGGACAAGGAAGAACCCTAACCTCCCTCCACTACTTAGTTGCATGTTGCTTGGATGTCAGGACTTTAACTTTTTGCCAACTCATGAGTTTTCCGCATTAAACCACTAAAAGTTAAACTGTTAGCAGGGGAGTAGAAAGCAACCGAGAATAGTCATGGAAGCCGAGGAGAAGGAGAAAGTGAGAGAGGGAGAGAGAAGGCGACAGGGAGCTTCCGCTCCCGGCTCCAGTTTTACCAGTATGGAAAAGACACCTACATATCATTTTTGGAGTAGGCCAAGCATACTTGGGAGTTCAGCCAACTTAGCGAGTGCCCTAAGGCTCCCAATGATTTTTGGGCCCTGAAGGGCCCCTGAGGGTCTGGGTTTTCATTGGAGGGCCCGGGGGCCTGCACTGGAGGGGTCATGAGCCTTAGGGTAGGTGAAAAAAACCATGGAGTTATAACTGGAGTGTATCTGGGGCTCCCTTTATTCTCATTTCCTGAGTTCCTCGACTTTAGTCTCTTTTTTTGGCTTTGGACCGTTTTAGTGGAACAAACGGAAGAAACAAAAACAGGTGCGGTGTGGTCAATCATTTTGACCAATCCGCTCGATCGGCAGTGAGTTTATTTCCTTCGGATGTAACCATAGGTGTCACTGGTTTAGATGGGCTTTGTGCCTTCCGTTCACCAGGGAAGCCCATGGATTGCTTTCCAGTTTAGGCCGCCTATGAAATTTCAGATGTTTGGTTGAATTTGTTTGGCCCACTCGACTCAAAGTGAGTTTATATCATCTATGGTTATAACCTTCTAGGTCCCCCAGTAGTGCCCTTTTACCCTTTTTTGGGGGAGGGTTCCCCTGCTAGAATAGACTACAGAAAAAAGTTGGTACCTTATTCTAACCTCTCAAATCTGGAGGACCTAGACAAGGCGAACCACTTGCCCGGACCCTGAAACTGCCCTTAAGAATGGGTGGTACCCAGAAAACTTGTGATGGGTGCATTTCCCTTTTTTAGGGGTTTGAGGATTGAGGTAAGTTCTGGACCTGATTCTCCCGTGAAGGCACATGGTCTCACTCGAGTCAGGCAGCGCCGAGCGCCGCGAGAAGGGCCGCGCCCACGGCGTGGGGCGCCGTGGCCGGCGAGTCGTTTCTGAAGTCCATACACCGTCCAGGTGCTTAGAAATAGGTTTTTGTTGCTCTTCCCTTGTTGGTTTTAGAGGGAGTCTATCAGTTTTGTTGTCCCCTCGTTGGCTTTGAAGGGAATCTATCAGTTTTTGTTTCCCCTTGTTGGTTTGAAAGGAATCTATCCCTATTGGACATATGTTGTTATTTTTGTCCAGCTTCAGCAAATGGAGGTACGTGGTTCAACTAAACTTGCTGGCGCGATAGGGCAGGGAATGAGACATGGAACCGACAAATCCCGAGTTGGTTTCCTTTTTTTCGGATCCCTTGGTTCATTCCCAACACCAGGAAGGTCATTCCCTACAAGAGCACCAGCAAGTAAAGTGACCCTGACTTTAGCTGGGGGCGAGGCTGACTTTAGCCGCCATTGCTGTTTCTGGGGAGGACACTTTTACGTAGTCCACACATGTTTTTGTTTGCGACTTTTCGGGCATTTTTCAACGGTATCTTGTGTGGGTCGTATCCAAGTCGGCTTCCTAACAGCTTCCGCTTGATTAATCGGTGGTTTGGAGCCCGGTAGTTTGGGATTTGAATTTCGCGTCCAAACCAAAGCAAACCACAAGTTAGGGGGAAGCTGACTCTAAAAATTGGTGGTTTGGAGTCGTTTGGTGGCTTGGATTCGAAGTGTCCCATTTAGACTGTAGAGACCAGGGGTTCAAACACCTAAGACAATCAGAGCGACCAAGGAAGGGTTATTTGACAAAAGCAGACATTTCAGATACGACATATGAAATTCAACCCGGCAATGAGAAAGTGCCAAGTTATACGGAACCCAAATCATTCGTTGGTCCGATTCCAATTTCCCGATGGCTTGCGCCAATGACAATCATAGGTGTAGCATGCGATCCAGCCCGTTTATTCCCCATTTGGGGTTGCCGAACCGAACAAATGGACAACCACCCAGTTTGGCACCACGGGCCTTGCTCAAAAGGTCCGTTGCGTCGGATGACCCTGAGAGGAAAACAAAGGAATGATCATTTGGGTCCCTAAATGGAATTTTGGCGAGATCATTCTTTCTTTGTTTGAGACTTTTGCAGGAACGGTTGGCAAAAACCCGCGCTGAGGCACCCCTACGGGGGTTTGTCCACCGGCGCGCTGCAGTTTCTCTGTCTCAAGACGGAGGATGTGCGGCAGAAGCTTCAAGGCCTTGTGGAGAAGGCCTGGACTCGAAAGGCCGCGGAGGTTTGCAGGGCTCCTCAAAAGAAATCTCCCTTTTGCTTGCCCATTTGAAACATGGATGATCATGGATGGCTTTCTCAACACCAAAATAAAGTTGGACATCACCATCTACAAGTTGCAACGTTCAGGTGTATGATGTAAGGATCCCTGTTTTGTGTGGACACATTGCCGAGGTATCAGCTGGACAGACAAGTTCCGGCAGTTGGTAGCTGGGGTTTATCCATGTCTTCTTTTTGTTCTTGTTTTTTGTTTTAAACATATTATTTGTCACCAATCACAATCATGCGTTGGGTTTCATGAATCCCTTCTGCGAAATGGACTTTGCCCACCCACAGAACCTCTTGCAGTTGGGAGCTGATGTTTATCCTCCCACCGACGTTCAGGACGTCACGTTCTATGTGAATTGGGTGGTTTATCCCATTTGTGGGCTTCAACTATGCCAAATGGTGCAATTATGTGTTTGTCCACCCACAGTACTGGCTTTCAACTTGGGAACATGGCACATGAGCCATGTCCTCAAACCCGGTAAGATGAAGGTTAGCAGAGGATAGTCCCCACCATAGACGGGTGCAGCCGCAGGTTGAATTATTCACATGGGGTTCTGGGTAGATTATCAGGTTTTGATGAGCGTGTTTTGGAGGATTTTTTGATTTCTCCGTTAACTCTTCAAGTTGAGGATGTGTGTTCCCCCTCCAAGCATTGAACAGTTTTCACCATATATTTTTTTGTGCGAGCCATCGCGATCTCGGTCCCCAAGCTTGAAACCTTTGATTCGGTCTCTTCGAATCTAATTGGCTCACTTGAGCCACTTGCTCAAAACCGATTCGGGTAGATGAAGGTTAGTACGGGGGCAGTCCCAGCCAGAAATAGTTGCGGCCGAACTCTTTCTTCTTTACATGGTTCTGGGTAGACCATTTTAGTACCGGGTTTTGATTGTGGCTCACTTCTTCTACTCTTCAAACTGGCTCATGCCGCCGCGTTTCCTCGTCATTTTCTGAAAGCAAGTTGTTCAGCTGTGTTTTTAGCCAGTCGACTTTCTTCGGTGAGCCGTGCTGGAAATCCAACTTTCGGTAGGGTCCAGCTGAAGATGAGCACAAACCATGAAAAGAAGAGAAGGAGCATGGTTAAATGGAGCTTTGTTTCTTGACGATTACCCTTTTTAGGGGGTGCTACGGGAAACTGAAGGACACCTTCCTTTTTGGAATACAACAGCTTGCAAACCAAGAATGTGTTTGTTTCCCAGCCTTTTTCTTCGTCAAACCGATAATTTGTCTCCATTTTGCTGCAAACTGGTTTGGACTGAAGTGCACACCTCCTTTTTAGGTTGTTTTTTCCGACACCGCGTTCGACCTCCGAATCCAACTCCAACTAGGTCCCCCAGTAGTGTCCTGTGACCAACTTTTTTGGGGGAGGGTTCCCCTAAATAGACGTCCTGAACAAAAACTTTGTACCAACTGATTCTAACCTTTCTACTGGAGGACCTAGCCAGGTCAAAATAGGAACCCCCCCTCAAAAAAAAGAGAAAAACATTCGTAGTTGAAGGAATCTCCTCAACCCAACCCCCCCCCCCCGCTCCCCCCCAAAAATGCATCGATCCGCAGGTGTTGGCCACGCTCCCCGCGCGCTCCGAGCCCTTCCAGAAGTTGGTGGCGGAGGAGTCCCGCGCCGTGGACGAGGCGCGGGCGGGGAGCTCCGGGACTCCGCGGGGGCCCGGCAAGCCGAGGGAAAGCTCGGCGAAGATGCGGGAAACGGACAAAAACCAAGAACCGCCCCACCCACCAAGTTTTTTTTTTTTTTGGCGTTTTTTTGTTGTATGGTGCTGCGTCCAAAAGGAAGCCACTCATATGATGTTGCTTTCAAAACGAAACCATGTCTATCTTTTGCTTCCAGAAGCAAACCAGAGGATGGTGCTTGGTTGTGCGCAGATCCTCTCCCCGAGTTGTTCATGTTTCAACATATGTCGGGGATGATCTGAGGGCAACATGTTGGCGGCAACAGCCAAATTGTCGCGTGAAATGCGACACCCTTGCGCATGTTGAAGTATTGCGTCTCAGGCCAGCTGGCAACCCCTTAGCGTTCATTTGCTTAAGTTGTTTTTTGATTTTCCCTTGTTGCTTTTAAAGGGAATCTATCACTACACATATTTTTTTCCAGAGGTCTTAACCAAATGGAAGCTAACTGATAGCATTGAGCCTGCTTGCTTCACTTCAGAGCAGCCAAAAGCTGCATGCCCCGCAGTTGCCATTTGGGCGCCCCCAAATGGCTTGACGGGACCGTTCTACAGGAAGCTCTCGAGTCTTGGAGGCCCGGAACACTCACTTGTTTCTGCAAAGCCGTGTGAGTCACTCGCGGATCGAATGTTCAACTCCTCTGTGCGAGGCGGTCGTGGGATTGACAATCTTGAACGCTGAAATACGTTAAACTGTGGTACTTCGACCGCGTGGAGGACCCAGCAACAGCTTGCAGGAGTCTTGGGGCAAGGGTGCGCTTTTTGTCCGCATGCATTTCCATGGTACCAAACCCCTTGATACTTCAGCTGTGCAGATGGCGTTTTTGCCTCTGACGGCCCCGAACTAGCCAAACTGTGACATGTGACACTCATCGAATTGACTTGTTACTTATGTGGTTTTGTCAACACTAGTTGGAGCCACCGTGGCAATTGTATCATGCCGTGTTTCTGGTTCTATTGGTTAAAGGTTCAACTGGTTTGAGCCACCCTTCAAGACTGTGAAGACTGTGGATTATTTCCGAGGTACTTGTATTGCATGTCTTGATTTGATCAGGACCATGCTTGACCAGATCAAACCTCTCGCAGGTTTGTAGGGAAGGCAGAAGAGATTCGGATGCGCTTGAAAGGGGTACCCCTTTTGTGGATGTTTCCAGATGGAAACCAAACGCAAATCAAGGATTTTGAGGGCACCGTTTTTAACAGCACACAAAACCAATTTGATTTGGGCACCTTCGGTCAAAAGCGCTTTATAACCGAGCCCTCGGTTTGTCAGTCCGGCGTCTGGCCCTGCGCAGCTTATGTTTGCCGCTCTGTTGACACGGAGAGGCTGCCCTGACGGCGTGGAAAGAGCTGGAGGCCCGCAGGGCCTGACCTCACTTCCTGAGTTGGACTTTATACTTTTGGGAAAGACCATTTTAGTGGCCAACAAAGAGTTCAGAATGTTCAGACTCTTTTTGGACCATCCACTCGAGAAGTGAGTGACACCAAGCCTGCTACAAATGCTAAGTGTGTGGTGTGGTGCTTTGTTTGTCTCGGTTGTCAAGCTTGTTAGTGTGGATTCGTTGTTTGTGTAATTGATTGCCTGGTTCATGGTGCCACTGTTTGATCGAGTTTGGACTTGTTGCCAATGATTGCTCAGTCGATTGAGTGATTGATTGCTTGATATGATTTGATTGATTTGATTTGATTTGATGTGATCGGATTGCTTGATTGGATTGGTTCATTGGTTCATTGATCACTGAATCATTGATCCATTGATTCATTTCTTGATTTGATTAATTTGATTGATTTGATTTGATGTGTTTGTTTTGTTTGATTGATTCATTGATTGGTTGATTGGTTGATTGGTTGGTTGGTTTGTTGGTTGGTTGGTTGGTTGGTTGGTTGGTTGGCTGGTTGAATGTTCTGACCGATTGATTTGAATAATTTGCTTTGTGTTGCTTGTTTTGGTTGATTTGACTGATTTGGTTGAGTTGATTGGTTGATTGGGATTGACTGACTGACTGACTGACTGACTGGCTGACTCATTCATCCATCCATCCATCCATTCATTCACTGACTCACTCCTCATTCATTCATTCATCATTCATCATGTCATTCATTCATTCCATTTCACTCCACTCCACTCCACTCCATTCCATTCCATTCCATTCCATTCCATTCCATTCCATTCCATTCCATTCCATTCCATTCCATTCCATTCCATTCCATTCCATTCCATTCCATTCCATTCCATTCATTCATTAATTCATTAATTCATTCATTCATTCATTCATTCATTCATTCATTCATTCATTCATTCATTCATTCATTCATTCATTCATTCATTCATTCATTCATTCATTTCACGCACTCACTCACTCACTCACTCACTCACTCACTCACTCACTCACTCACTCACTCACTCACTCACTCACTCACTCACTCACTCACTCACTCACTCCCTCCCTCACTCACTCACTCACTCACTCACTCACTCACTCCCTCACTCACTCACTCACTCACTCACTCACTCACTCACTCACTCATTTATGAACATTCATTATTTCATGGATTCATTATTTCATTCATTCCGTTATTAGTTGATTGATTGAGTCTTTGGTTGGTTTCCCGATTGATTGGTTGGTTGATTGATTTGATTTGACTGCCCATGACTGGAAAGGGTCCAATCTTGCCCTGCAACCTTCAGCAGAATGTCGTCCAAACTGCTGGAAATCCAACTTTGCGGCAATGTGGCAATGGCTGATGTGATTCAACAAGAATCGGGAATCATTGGTTGATTAACCCATTAATCAAGGTTCAAACCAGGGCTTTATAGAGATATACACTCAAACAAATATTGGATTCCACCGGTTTCAGTTCAGTTCAAATTCTTTGCCAGTGCCATCCATTTGTGCGAAAGGACACCTAGCTGTGAGAATACCCCTCTTGCAACCACAAATGGACATTTGCATGGAATGCATGTTATCATAGCTCTGCAACAGGCGGGTGTTCAGCAAGCCTTTGAAACTGGGGGAATTCACAATTTGTGCTTGTGCTTGTAGTGCTTTGCTGCCTTGGACCCGTGTGAATCCAACATCACCAACCTTTTTTCCGCGAGGAGAAGCTATCTCCCAGCAGTGCCTTGGCCATCGATGCGCGGTGCAGCCTCACACGCGTAGGTGGGGCCACGGGTGGTTTGTTGGGCTTGGATTTTTGTCCCAAAAAAAAGAAAGAACACGAGAATCATTTTGTTTGATTTGGATTTTGTCTCGCACCGTCCTCCCTGCCCCCCAAAAAACAGAGAAACAACACGGGAAGCAGCTGATGTTGGACAGGGCTTGGGCTTTGATAAAGAAAGGTGTTCAGTCCACTCCCGCCGCAAGCTGGTAAGCTGGTGGTGTGCGATTCATGGCGCCAAAGGGACATGTCCAATACATTTGAGCGAAGGGTTGAACTGGGAGGGCCTTCTGGCTTGGGACATGGGCTAGGTCCCCCAGTAGTGCCCTTGTACCCTTTTTTGGGGGAGGGTTCCCCTACTAAAATAGACTACAGAAAAAAGGGTACCCATATTCTAGCCTCTCTACTGGAGAACCTAGAAAGGAGTAACCCAACCGTTTCTGGGATACCAGTATTGAGAAACCCCCATGTCGGTTTCATCGCAAACACATGCAACCAAATCGAACATGTGTGTGCTTGAGTGCCGCAACTCCGAGCCAACCATTTACGGTAAAGGTCTGTTGTCGGTTCCAGGGGATGCTGTGGTAAAGTTTGCCCACAACCCAAGTTTCGGCGTCTCTTGCCACGTTTTGGATCCGACCCTCCTTGACACAACATGCTTGTGGGCGGTGATACCAAGGGAAGCTTTGCACTAGCTGCTCCATGATCATCAGCATCGGAACGTGAGCCACAATCCAAACCCGGGTAGATGTAGGTTAGTAACTTTACTGGTTCTGGGTCGACCATTTTAATACCGGGTTTTGAGTATGACTCACATGTTGTTCACCAGTTCAGAGGCGATCTTCTCGTTTGCCTGTGGAGGAGCATTTGACACCGAGCCATATGAGTCCAGAATCCCCTAATCAACGTTCCTGGTGCATACCCTTCTGTCATCCATCTTCCACCGGAACGCGATACCTGGCTCAGGCTCTTCTTTAGACCGCCCCAGTTTGGAAAGTCTACGAACTTCCCCTCCTGAAGAGGTAACACTCTGGACATATTTATGAGACTCCCCCCAAGGTAGTAACATCGTCCCGTTCCCTCACGAAAAGACACATGATGCTCGGTTGACATGATCAACTTATTTTTCAAGCTTCACTTCCATTTGCTTAAGAATGTGTTTTATGTCCCTTGTCGGTTTTAAAAGGAATTGATCACCACTGGACATATTTTCTCATTTGTTCCCGGGGGCAATTGGAAGCTTCATATGTTGAAGTTAGATGCTCATCATTAGCCAGTTGAATCAAAGCTCTCTTGTTTTTCCTTGAAGTGGTGTAACGGGCCTCCAAGCTGAGCAAACGAGTTCTGGATTTTGAACAACTTGTTGGGAACATCTCGTTCGTCGTAAAACAGTGTTCGATCAATTACGTGTGGTCGGTTTTTGGGTTGGTACCTTTTGTTAGGTTGGTTCAAGGGAACTTCAAAAGGACGCCCATTTATCTACCTGGGCCCTCAAAATCCGCTTACAAATTGGTTGATATGCCCGACAATTATGTGGTGGAGTCCCCTTTTTTGAGGTAGTTTGAGGGTCCAAAGTCCAATTTGTTTTTGTTTCTGTTGTTTTTGCTGTTTTGGTTTTTCTCTTTTTTTTTTTTTTACTAGGGCTGGTTTTTTTCGGGGAGGGGAGGGGTTCCAACCCCTTTGTGACACGGTCACCCATACGCCGCGCTAGGAGCCGCAGATACTGAGACGCGGACGGGTCCTGGGGAGGCGACTAAGACCGGGTGGGAAGGCGTGGGAATCCAACGCGGATGGTTGGAGTCATCTAAACATGGCTGTTGTTGCAGGGCTCCTTCAAAGAAATTCGCTTTGCAACCGTTTGAAACATGTTGCTTTTTCAACACCAAAATACAGGGGAAACCACCATTTACAAGGCAATGCTCAGGTGTATAATGTAAGGATCCCTGTTGGGAAACATTGGAAGCATTTTTTGCCTATTAATGGGTTTTCCGTATTAAACCACCAAACATGGTTGTTGTTGGGAAACATTGGACACATGTTTTGCTTATTAACGGGTTGTCCGTATTAAACCACCAAACATGGTTGTTGTTGGGAAACATTGGACACATGTTTTGCTTATTGTGGTTTAGTGGTTGAAATCCAACCACTTAAGTGCTAAAAAAAGAAAGGTTGCTTCCCTTCCAACGTCAACCAAACAAGTGGGGCTTTCAGTGCTCGGAGTCACCTTCCCCTACACATATGGAAAAGAAACAAGTGCCATTGCAGCCTAAATAAACAAATGAACGAGTGCCCACCTCATCAACTTGAAAGGAAATCCTTAATTGGGAAGACCGCTGGCTTCATGAGTTATTTGTGCATCAAACCCACTCTCAGGGTTGCCATTACTGTCACTGATGCTAGAATCAATATCTGCAATTGCCGTTGTGGTGTCATTGGCTTGGCTTCTATGGAAAATAGACTTGCACCTTGTTGAGCAGATCCTGAGGGAAAACAAGTGTAGAAAACACTAAGCTGCACTTAAAAAGAAGCTTCTATGGGAAAATCAACAAGTGCATCCTAGAATTTGAGTATCTCTGGATCCTGCAACAGATCTGATCCTGCAATCCCTTCTTCTGTTGTATGGATCCTTCTATTGTAGGAGGGACAGATCTGATGTTGGAGTCATTGGAGTCTACATGCTATCTAAGTGGTGGTTGGAGTCAGCTTCTACACAGACTGTCAGCTTCCCGCCTCTTTTACTGGTAGGCATTTTTCTTTTAGAAAAAGAGAGATCGAAACTTGCTCCTTTGTTCAGCTGGTTCTCACTTCGCAGCGACATGCTCAGGCTCCTTAAGGGAAAATGGGATGCGTTACGACAGAAGTCGCTACAGGATGCACACGCCAGCATAGGTGTCCTTTTTGGTTGGTTTGCTTGAAGAATAGAGGGCCCTGGTTTAGATGGAATTTGTTCCATTTACCAGGGCCATCTGGGTGTGGCTCGAAATTAAACAGAAAGGGCAAACCGCAGGTTTTGGTCCATGTTTCCACTTACCAGGGCAACCCATTTTGGAATTCCGTGTTTTTTTTAGCCACAGCCATCCATTTTTCCCAAAGGCCACCTCTGGACGCCAGTTCTTCCGTAGCCGTTAGCAGGTCTGAAGACACGACCGGCTCGCGCGCGAATTTGATTCGCGCCAGGCCAAAGCAGCCACCTTGCAGCTGACCACAGGCGCGACAATTGTTGAAATGCTCAGTTGGATCCGTGGCACCCTTTATTGTTTTTCCCCCTTTTGTTTGGTGGCCTTTTCCCACGAAAAATGGACACGTCCCCAACAAAGGGTTCCCTTTTTTTCTCCCAGGGTCACTGAACAACTGAGAACGATATCCCCACCTCAGCACCCCCACCACTGCGCACTTGGGGCTTTGGGCATGGGGAAAACGCGGTCGCCGGGTTCTCCTTTTGGGTTTCGGACATGGACGCAACCATTCGATTGAGCCGGCCTCGGCTCAATCGCCTTGCGCTTATGTCTCGCAATCGACTTCTTAGACCCGCCCAATGCCAACCTTAGACCTTTTCATGTGGTCATTTGAGCTGCGGGGCTGCAAAGATCAACATTTGTCGGCTTACATCCTCGAGGTTGCGAAGCTTTTCACATTTGGGTTTGCCTGCTTGGTGTGTCTAGTTTGGCAAGGGGTAAGCTGTGCCCATTTCGGGGATTTCCTTTCTTCAATTTAGGCTTATTCTTTGTTTTATTCGTAGTCCTTTGGGTAAAGGTGAGTAAGAATGCTCCCCTGAGGGCAAGGGCCTTAGTGCATTGATCCGGCAAGACACATCCTGAGGGAGTGTTATTGACGGCTGCCCACACAACCAACCGGAATCATGAACCATGCTGCTTCTCAGGCGTCACAAATTCAAGTTTCTGAACAACCAACCTGGGCCACAATCAAAACTCGGGTGGATGCAGGTCAGTACGGGATAGTCCCAATCGTCAAATGGGTGCAGCCGCATTTTTCAATTCTTTCATGGTTCTGGGTCGATGTGAAGACCGATCGGTTTTGATTACGACTCACTTCTAAGGATGTTCTTTGTATAAGGCGCGCGTTTTCGCGCCGCGGATGCATCGAGCTTCATTTCTGGAGTCCTCCAGAGGGCACTAGGTGGACTGCTTTTCAATATGGAACCCAAAAAGAGATCCCTCCAATGTTGGTTTCGGTTCCCCCCAAAAAGCTGCTTGCTGAGTGAACCCAAAAGCTGCTTGCTGAGTGAGGGGGTTTGGTGGAACAATGGCAATGTGTGGCTGTTTGTCTTTAAAATGAGAGCTTCCTTGTAATTGTGGTTCCCTTGAATTAAAACCACTCAAAAGGGAGTACCCTCAAGAAGACACGCCCAGGTACAGAAATCAAGAGATTCCCCACATCTCACCCAGAAATGGACACCCCGCGTTTAATCCGCTGGGGTTGATAAATCCCCTCTTCCTATTCATGGACGGTATATTTTTTTTGGGAGGGGATGAATATGGGGTCAACATGAACCATCAGGTGGCTTCTCCTCCTTCTTTGACGTCCAGTCCGCCCTGGCAGACTTCGAGCGCAGCTACCGGGAGTTGGACGGCCCCTCGACCCGGCGTCCGAACCACGCGGAGTGGTTTGTACCATTTCTGATGGATCCGTCCAGTTCCTCTATTAAGAGTATGTGGTATTCACCCTGTTGGTTTTACAAGAAATCTATCACTACTGAACATCAATGGTCCCTCTCGGGGGCCGGAGCCACAGCGGACAATTCTTACTCAGCTGCATGCAGCGGACTTCAGCAACTGGCTCACGATCTTGTTTGAATTTGGCTCACGAACGAGGCTTCCTACACCTGGACCAGAGTCAAAAGATCGCTCCGGGCAGATGGGCAGATTGGTGGGTCCGATTGTTTGGTTCCAACTTTTGGTCTGTATCGGTTTGGGGACCCACCGGTTTGTATCTTCCTTGGTTGGCTGTTTCAGAGACCTCACTTAGCTCAGCTCCTCCATGCGTCCGACATGTGCGTTGGTGTGTCATTTTCTGGGGCGGCAGGGGCCAAGATTGGTTTGCTAACGGGCGAAGGGCGAAGTGGGAATGAACCTTCCATTTTCCAGTCCCTTCTTGCAGCTTTTTGAAGAAGTCCCCTCATGTGTCTCCAGCCCCAAAGAAAGGGACCATTGATAGACATGTGCCCTTTCGGGGGGGGCAGATGTTTGCCACTTGCAGATTGGACCCAGACCGAGTTGCTTGCCGTTTTTTTTTTTGCTTCCTTTGCTCAGCTTTCAGAAACCGAAGTTTCATAGTTCCTCACAAGAGGGGGAACCTGCAACATACCCCTTGAAGGATTTTTCTGAGTTCCTGGACGTTAAAGTTTTCGGACAGACCATTTTTAGTTGCAAATAGAAGGTTCGGACTTCTTGGGCCAATCCACGGAAGTGAGGAACTGTCTTTCTTACAATCCGCGGGACGTGGCTCGGCTTCGTTGCAACGCCTTGATCGGAACTGATAACGGCAAAGCTTGGTCCAGAGCAACTGCAGCGTCTTTGCCTCACAAGGCCGTCAACCAGGCTTGTGGAAATTGGAGTACTTCCTTCAGGCCCTACGTGTAAGACCATGCCCTCCTCTTGTTGCCGAACTAGCCAGAGGCTGTCACACTGACTGACCCACTGAACGGACGGACGGACGGACGGACAGACTGACCGACCGACGGACCGACCGACCGACCGACCGACCGACCGACTGTTGAAAGGGCATCCGAAGGGCAACCACCCAGTATGATAGTTGCCTCATTTCGAGATGAACTGAGTTTAGCTAGGTTTAGTTGAGTATCTACTTTTTGGATGCATGCAACCAAACAGAAAAGGACCTTCAGAGTTATTCTTTCCCACGCCCCGTTGCAATTGTTCCTGGAATTGCCCGTGTGTGCTTTGTTTCTTATCATGCCTGAGAAGGCTTAGTTGTCGTGATTCCCTTAACGTCTACGTTGATCGAGTCACGCTCCAACATGTTGACCTCTTATGTTGTAGGTGAGTCTCTGTCCTCACCTTTCCCTACTGTCTTTATCCTGTTCACCTTCTATCTTGGAAGGAACAGGATAATAGAGACAGAGAGGAATGATAGGGAAAGAAGGTGATATGATTCCTTGTACTTCCTTCTTTCCCAGTCATTCACATTCCCTTTCTCCCTACCTCCCCAAAGGCTTTCATTGGAAGTAGGATGTAGAGATGTGTCCAAATGCTTTCCTATGCCTTGTTCAGAAACATTTGGGGTCTCTTGGCTGTGTCATCTCTTCTCTCCCTCTTTTCTCCGTCTTTCGGTCGTTCCTAGAGACATAGAGCGACGGAACGAAGTGATGGATGGATGGGTTCTCGCTTTTACACTGTCCTTTGTTTGTTTGGTTGCAAGTAAGCTCCCCTTATGTTACGCAATTTTTTATTTATCCGGACGCAAATCACCCCTCCACGCCACCCCCTTCCTCCCCCGCATGGAGCGAAGTGTCTGAGGCCGCAACCAGCTGATGAATCGCTTCCAAGACTTGGCGGGATGCACGTCCAGGCGTTGAAATGTGGGTCAATTAAATCACCAGAGGCATGTTTCCATTTACCAGGGCCAAATCTGAAGGGAGCTTTCGCGACCAGAAGTGAGCGTGACTTTTTGAGGGGACCCGATGAGGACCCCTTTCTTTGTGGTTTAAACGGGATCTAAAAGGAAAACCACCATTTGTTGGGTCAAAACCAAGTGAGTCACATGTGAAAAGATCGCCTTGCTTTGTGGTGACGCGGTTGTTTCCGCGGTTGCTTTCGGAAAGAGGGGCTCTTCAGCCAGCAGCAAATTACAATGCAATGAAGGCTGCAAGCTCTTAAGTGGCAATGGACTGGACAAAGCAAAAAGCGAGGTTTGGGGTCAAGAGACAGATGTTTTTTCCTGGAGACGATTCAGAGGGTCCCTGATGTTCGGGCAATGCACTTTACAAGGGCTATCGGCAAGGGATGTGTGACAATTTTTGGGTGGGGGTGCATAGGAAACTGAGGAATCGTCGGGCATAGTTCTGCAAACCCCTCAAGCAAGGGGACACCATCCCATGAAACTACTGTGCAAAATTGATTTGCCTTAGATTCTGTCTTAAGGGGCCCAGGGCTTAAAGCTGTCGCCTGTGAAGTCTCTGGGAAGCTCAATGCTTGGGCTTCATTCCCATTTTCGGAATACTGCAGTTCTCAGGGCAAAATGAGTTGCACGTGTGCACTGCGGTCAATGTCCTTGCAGAGCCGGTTAAAAAAGCAACAGCAGAGAAAAGGGGCATCCGAGGCTCATTTCTGGATTTGTGTCATCACACCACCCAGTGTTCTCACCTAGGATCCCAGCATCTAAGTTGCCGTCGAATTTCTGAGATGGACTTCAGAATTCCAAAAGCAGAAATGGGAGACAGACTTCCCGACCATGTCCCAGGGTTGCTTCTTCCCATGTCGACTCCAAGTCGATGGCAACCAATGGAAACCCAAGATGCGCCCTCCAAATCAGAGTGATGTGTCCCTTTAGGGGAGTGACCCACGCACCAAAAGCCATCCCTTCTGTTCAAACTCACACCCAGACATCCGAACAACACACAAACTCCGGGAAGTTCCCTTGTGAGAGGCGCCAGCCCAGGTTTTGAAATTTGAATTCTACATTTGGTCGAAAACAAACACGATTTTTTGAGGCAACCGCAGAGATGTTTCCCCTCAGGTCACCCTCAATTGGTCATTTGGATTGGGCTTTGGGATTTGAACCGACCTTTGTAGAGGGTACATGGGAAACCCTTTCCTTGACCCACCAAACCACCCATTTCGGCTCCAAACCAGCAAACTAACAAAGGATGCTCAGCCCCTTCGTTGGATATGTGGCCCCTCGCGTCCAGAATTGTGTTTTCATCCGGGCTTCCCTCGGGTTTTCCCGGGGTTCGCGGGATTTTTTTCCGGGGGAAACAGTTCCGCGGGATCCTCCGGATCCTCGGCTCACGAGCGGAGCGCGGAGGCCGGGGGAGGGCCGCATGGAGAAGCTGAGGGCGAAGCTGGTGGCGCTGCGGGTCTTTTGGCGGGCGGCGCAGGAGTGGGACAAGGCGACGCTGCAGGGGGGAAGGGGGGGGGAGGAGGGGGAGGGAGGGAGGAGGGGAGGGAGGGAGGAGGGGAGGGAGGAGGGGAGGGAGGAGAGGAGGGAGGAAGGGAGGGGGAGGGGGGAGGAGGGGGGGAAAGAGGACATAGTGGGAAGGGGGGGGGGTCGATGGTTTGGGGAGGAAATGTCTTAGAAAAAGTCAGTGACCCTCCTTTGGGGGAAGGGGAACGAAACAAGGAACAGGGAGGGAGGACACTGCTTAGGATGCTTCGCTTCTTGTTGGCCAGGTGTTTGTGTGTGTGTGTGTGCGTGTGTTTCCCGCCAAGTGAAAATGAACAGTCTTAAAGTCTTAGGGTCGCCCAAGAGATGGGTTGAACCAGCAAATTTCTCGCCCCCGAGAGTATTTTCGGGACTGTTTGGGCATAGTTGGGCCCTCGTGGCACCAATTATTTTCCTTTTTTTGGTGGCTGCCCCACTCGAAATTGTCTTCCCAAAAACGGGTTCCCTTTTTTTCCAGGGTCAACTGAGTTAATTGTCGGTGTGTTTTTTTTTTGTGTTGAGGATCAAAAGTGAAGCATTGCAGTTGTCAAAATGAGTAAAACTCTTCTAGGGCCTCGGAAAAAGCCGTCCAACACCAAGCCGGAAGCGGTCCAGCCGGTGTGAAAACACCTGCCCAGTCGGCCCCTATGGGTCCGATCCAACGGTTTTTCGGGGTACCAACAATGGCGGTTTTGTTGAGGCCCTTGAAGACTTGGCCGGTGTTCTCCCTTCTTCTGCCCCTTCGGAGGCCTGCAGTGGGGTGGAAAAACGGAAAGCCGGGCGGTGTGTTTTCTGAGGAAGTGGAGAAGCGGTTGCGCCAGTCTCCAGCTTTGGTGAACATCACGGATCTCCAACGCCAGGCCCGGAACACGAGCTCTAAAGCTACACGGGTCATGACCCCTCCAATGCAGAACCCCCAAGCTCTCAAGCACTCAACCATAGGACCCCCAAATGGTCGGGACCCTTAGGGTAGGATGATTCTTAGACATATGGATGTGTCGGTATTTTATTTTATTTTATTTTTTAAAGAGAACCCCCCTTGTTGCTTGGTGCTGAAGGAGAAACAGCGGGGAAACCAAGCATTGGGTCCCCAGCTGTTGAGAGACCCCTAACACGGCATGAGGCACCTTGGGTCCGCCCAGGTCCGCAGACCCACGTGAGCTCAAACATGGGTTGAATGACACCGGAAAAACAAGTCCCTTCAGCCATTTTCTCCGCACGGAGAAAGACACGGGGTCCATGGTGGAAAGGTTTGCTTCCATTTGCTTAATATTTTTATTTGTTTTTTAAATGTTCCCCAGTTGGTTTTAAAGGGAACCTATCACTGCTGGACATATTTTTTCCAGGGTTCTTAACCAAATGGAGGCTTATCCTTGAAAAGGCGGGGTTCTGGACCTCCAAATGGGGGAAGGATCCATGGTACTCAGATCCTCAGGCCATGTTTCTCCTGATGAGAGCCCTCATTCCTCAAACCTGGGGTCTCCAACAAATATATTCATGTTAAGGGTCAAACCAATGGTCTCCAAACAAATTCGTGATGTTACTGGTTATATAGACATATTTAATGGGTTTGAAGGTGTGAGTCTCTACCCCAGTCAAAGGGGTCCTCACTCGGCGAGTCGACCGAGTGAGGCTCACTTCACGCTGAGGGCCGTGAGCCAATGCCCCAAGGCGCTCGGCGGGAATTCTTCACGGAGAAACCGGCGGGGCGATACGGTTCCTTCAACTCGGCTCGGGTTGATCGAATTGACCTTCCACATCAAAGACCCACTAATTAAAAAGGAGGATCTGTCCCCTAAAACGAAACCTGCCTTTTTGGCCGTCAAAACTGGGTTTTGACCTGGTTCTGTATTTCTGACGCAAACGTACTTAACCCGTACGAAACCGGTAATTACAGGTAAGAACCCGAATCCAAAACGCTGTCTCCGAAACCAGGCGTTGAACTCGAAAACTGGTTATGTTTCCGGGATTTTGATGCACAAAGATATCACAGTTTAACTTTTAGCCAGTGATGATCTGTTTGTGAACCAAGCTGGGTTCCAGTTGTGGAGGCCATGTTAGACAAGGCAAAGGTGAATTTGTTTGCAGCCGCGTGGTGTTGCAAGTGAGGTTTGGTCAGCATGTACTTTGGCGCTTTGTCCATTTGGGGTTCGGGACATGCGGGGTGTTGCCAAAGAGCCAAAGTGCTGCACAAGTTGGGCTTTCTTTTCTACTTCCCAGGAAGGGCTGCCGCCTTCTTTTTTTTCTCACCAGAAATGTTCCATGTCAAGTTTCAGGGTGTACCTTTGGAGCCCCTGCAGATGGCGTCTCTTTGGGCGCCCAAAAGGGTGGCGTCCCTTGGAATTCCCAAACAAGTTTGCTTGGACCTGGTCATTTGTCGATGGATTTGTTTGACGGAGGTGTATGCTAGAAAATGTGAGTTTCCTTCCCATAGCCGCAACCCCAATCGCTGTTGAAAAAAACAGTCGTTGCAGAAAATCCTGTCCAGTGGATTGTTTTGGGCAAGATCAGTTTGGGCAAGCAGTGCAACAGTCCTTATGATTCTCAGGTCATTAGTGTTTTGTCCCAAATTTCTCTTCTCCAGTATAGTGGCAACCAAGGAAACCACCCTCCGCTCAGAACAACAAGCACTTACCAGGAGTCCTCCTGGGATCCACCATGGCAGGATTTCCAAGTATTCGATCGGTGTGCCCAGGAGCATCAGGAGCTGCTCCGCAACTTGAAAGATGTCGATTTTCGATTTCCACCAGTGTCACAACCTCAGACACCCATAAATGTTCTCCAGCTTGTTTCCTGCCTGTGTCTGTTTTTGGTTTGGAGGGGGTGGGTCGCCCCCTTTAAAAAATCGACGACCCAACGAGTGTGCCTGTTTTTGTTTCTCCCCATGGCGAGAGTTTGGCATCTAGCTGACTTGGGGGTTGGTCGGGATGGCCAAGCCCTGAAAACGGAAAATTGAGACGACCATGGGAGAAGATTCCTGGGAGATGATTTATGCAAGGCCCATTGGTTGCCAAGCCAGTGAACATATGCTTTGGCTGATTATTGTTCCATGGGAAGACTAAGGGACAAGCTAGTCTGTGAACACATGCTTTGGCCACTGGTCCTTGGAAAATTCGGGACATGGGGCTCTCCCTGAAGTTCACACGAACTCAAGGACAAGCCCTAATCCTTGTCGCAGGGTGCTGAGTGGTGGTCCCCGATGTTCGCCGCTCACGCGTCAAAAGTTTTGGCTGTTTGCCCTGGGTTTGATTGGTTTTTGGTCGCAAAACCAGGGTCCAAATGGAAATTCGGCCAAAGGCCTGCTTTTCCAGGGGCCGGGAAGATCAAGGATCGGCTTGGTCGACCGAAGCTGCATGCTTTGTGAAGAACGGTGGCTTCACGGCGTTCCGAACTGGACAATCGAGGTCCTGTACTTGGGATTCGCCTCTTTCCGGGTTGTGAACAACACTTTGCCCATCTCCATGTGTGACACAATCACAGCCCGGGTAGAGGCCGGTTAGTAAGGGATTTTTCCAACCATAAGCAGGTGCGGCCGCCGGTTCATTTCTCGTCATTTGTTTGGGCACACCATCTGAATACCAATCAGTATCTTCCAAATCATGGAAATGTGAGGTAAATATCCGCAGGCTACCACTGGTTCAAGGCTCAAAGTGCAAAAACAAAAACACGGGAAGTGTTTTTTTTTCTCCACCCATGGCCCATGTTCCAAACTCGGATCGGATCGGCATGGGCCAATTCGTTCTTCATCTGAGGCCAGCGGATCAACGCCTTCCGGCAGGTCTTCCGACAGCTCTTCATGGTGCAGTCCATCATGTGCCTGAACGCCGCCCGACGGCGGATGGCTCGCTGGCCGCTACTTTCGGAAAGCATTTGGCCGTGGGTCCTTGATTTTGGGAAGTTGGTGGTTTGGGGGATTTGAATCCCCAGTTTTTGTAGAGGTTAAATTGGAGAAACCACCCTAAGCACCAAACAACCGGGCTCCAAACCACCCATACCATAGGGGAGGCTGAAATAGGCGTCTCCACATCTCTCTTCTGATACATGTCCATGTGGGGCTTTGCCTGACGGGCAGCCAACTTTGGAAATCAAGTTCGGGCACGAGCTCGAATCAAGTGAACTGTTTGGATAAGGAAAACGGCCCCCAATTGTTCAAAAAGTGATACAGCAAGTTTGGATTAAAGAAATCAGGACATGAAGCAATGGTACTGACATGAACCCAGCCATTTGTTCTTTTGATTGGCCAGGTTTGCCATGAAATTTCGTTGCCGAGCCTTTCGCCAGTCGCTCGAAGGCCAAGAACGAGACACGGAAGCTGGTGCCCTATTCGCCGCCTCAGGCTCATGCGACTCAGCTGAACTGTTTCAGGCGCTCGAGTCGTTCCATTTTTGCATTGCCAGCTTGGCTCGGCGTGTGGTTGGATAGTTGGCTGCAAACAACCAAGCTTACCTATTTCATGTTTGGCGTTTTAGGGGGGGGTCCATCATTGTTGCTTTTACCCTCACACCAATCAACATGGAACCTGACAGGGAGAATGGTCCAAACCAGGACCCCCCACCCCCCGATCTGAACGTCAGGTTCCATGTATAGCAACAGGAAGGTGTTTTAGTTTTTGACTTGCTGATGAAGGTTCCGTAGGGGTTCTCTATTTTGGGTTGGGGAGTTATAGTTCTCATGATTCACCCATGATTCAGCCATGTAGGAAAGTGGTGTGGATACCACGTTGTGGGTTGTTTCACCCACCGGATTCCCTTGCAAAACTTTGAAAGTAGTACAGGGACGGGAAGTGTCACCACTTTGGTATCATAGAATGGGTTCCCGAAGGGAAAGGCTTTTAATTCTTTGCTGGTTGAACGTGATCTGGTCGGAAGCCCTGCGATTCAATTGGTGGGCAGGCCGGCTTAGGCGCAGTTGGGGCGGGATCCCTCACGACGCTTCTGACGGCACAGGGCCACCTTTGGAGTGTGTGGAGCTTGGAGTTTTGAGCCCTCCATCTTCTTCTTCTGTTTAAAAAAAAATCTGAAAATTAAACAATGCATATTATCATTATTGTTTAATTAATGCCCAATCTTAAATTCAATTATGTTCAATCACGTATGTGTGGACAACATAGTAACATAGTATTATTTAATAAGTTTAAATATTACAGAGGAATTTAAAGATATAAATCTATTATATTTGGATTATGGGAATGATCTGTTTGTAGTTGATCTTATATATATATATTAATAAAGAAAATGTTTCTATTCGGTATATTAGTTATCATCATATACATTGATATCTCATGTGCTTAAGATTATTTATTATCTGATTATTGGTCGAATTTTAGTCATAAGACGGGAGAAGGGCACCAGAGAAAGAGAGAGACAGATGGCTGTGCTTTGGGCTGGTGATGGCATATGTCGCCGACCCCATGTCCAAAAGTGGCAACAACAAAACACCGAAAAAAGCGGAAAAAAAAAGGCAAAAGGATGGGAGGACACTTGAGAAGTGCTAGCTGAAAGCAAACATACAGAAGACATTTCATTTGGACACCTGTGCTGTTGACGGGGACAGATGTGCTGTTCCTCAGGAAAGTGCAAATACCTCGAGTTTCCAGAAAAATCAAGACAAATTTCAATCCCTATGTCAGACATGCATGGGGCATAAGGTCTGATCATGTTTTTTTGGCTGTTTTTTGGAAACTCGAGGTTTTTTTGCATATTTCCATCATATTCATTTGGAAACCTTTGCTGGTGACGGGGACAGATGTGCTGTTCCTCAGGAAAGTGCAAATACCTCGAGTTTCCAGAAAAATCAAGACAAATTTCAATCCCTATGTCAGACATGCATGGGGCATAAGGTCTGATCATGTTTTTTTGGCTGTGTTTTGGGAAACTCGAGGTTTTTTGCATATTTCCCTCATATTCATTTGGAAACCTTTGCTGGTGACGGGGACAGATGTGCTGTTCCTCAGGAAAGTGCAAATACCTCGAGTTTCCAGAAAAATCAAGACAAATTTCAATCCCTATGTCAGACATGCATGGGGCATAGGGTCTGAAAAGTGTTTTTTTCATAATTCCCCTATATGCAAAACGCAGGCCCCATGACGACCCCTTGTGTAAGGATATGCCAGACATGAAGGGTAAACATAGGGGGTACAGCTCAAAACCTGGCTGAACCACGCGAGTTGGGCCGCGAACCAAGCCGGATCCGGGGCGCTGTGAGACGAATGGAAGGCACTGGTTGGTTTCAAGTTGCGTCAAGCCGAAGGGGCACACAAGTTTGCTATCTCCAAAGCCAACCATAGCCTCGGTGTTTCCAGAAGGCAACGATTCGAAACCTTAAGGCGACAAGGGACACCGCCCTCCCCTTCCCATGGAGAAAAAACATCAACCACATATTGCGAGATTTTGAAGCATGCGAATTCCAAGGGGCAGCGCCCTCTCATCCATTAAAAAACAAATCACTGCCAGACTTTGAAGGTTTGCTCCCATGTTTTTGTTCTTTTTACATATTCAAAAGAACACCTCCCCTTCCCATGATTTTGTTTGTTTGAAAAAAAGCAAAGAAAACCAATAGAAGAAGAAAAAAAACACGAGCCCAGACGCTGGCTGAGGTCTGGAGCAATCTCTTCGACACCCCGGTGAACCTCAAGCCCCGGGACTTCTCGGGGAACTGCTTCGGCTTCGAGAAGGAGCTGCTGCCAGGCCGGCCGGCCGGTCAGTTCTTTGGTCGGCAGCGGCTGAGATGACTCTGTGGTTTTGCTTCCCCCCCGCTTCTTTTTTTTTTTTTCCGGGGATCTATGGCTACTGGATGGTTTCCTCCCCTGTTGTTTCTTTTTTTTCTCCTTTTGTCGGTGTTGATGTTTCTTTCTTTTTTGGTTGTTTCCCCGCCTTTCTTGGAGTTGGTGCCCCTTTTTTTCAGGTTTAACGGGATATCAACGGGAAATCACCCTGTAAACGGATGAAGCAGGAACAAACTATGTCAACGCCCTCGCAAACTCGGAGCGTGTTCTTATGGTCGAGTTTGGTGGCACCGGGCTACCAGAAGGCCGAGTGTGCACTCTGATCCAAGGACAATGAGCAGGTTCGGTCAAGACTTGCAAAAAGGCAAACTAAGCATCAAGCCCACATGGAAGCTGGCAGGATCCTTGACATAGACGACTTTGTTGTGGGGCAACTCCCACTCCAGACTTGTTTTTGCACATGATGCCAACACTTGACTTTCAGCGGAGGTCTTTCCTATGAACACATTGTTTTCTTCCAACATAGACACACACACACTTTAGGCCATATCATGTATTGGACTTGGCGGGATCTGTTTGTCCGCTTGCATGATTGCCTGAGGGAGGGTCGCCGATATCCCCTGGATCAAAGAATACCCAGCCGCGAAGCGGCACGCCATTTGGGAGACATGCAGCTGAATCCGCAAACCGATACGGGATCGAACCTGTCACACAAAGGAGGTAACCGCATCCTGACAAGTGGTTGTGTTGCTTAACCCAGTTTTCGGCCAGGAACCAGATAGTTGGTACTAGGTTGTTGAGGTGGTTTCCGTGGTTGGCCATCAAAGCACTGGAGGCTGAGAGGTGAGTGTTCTTCAAAGGATGGTGCAGCCTTTCAGATGCCAACTTTCGAGGTGCAGTCCAATGACTTTGGGTACATTGGGATTGATGGTCTTCAACACCAATGGTACCATTTTTGGGGTAGGTCACTTTAGTCTATTTTAGCGGGGATTGGGATGTTCACTGGGGGTACGGGCCCATAATTGTTGTTTCATCTCGGTTTCAAGAGTCACAAAGCTGCACTTGGAATCCATCGAGTTTTACAAGGACAGAGTGGACAGACCCCTTTCGATTCGGCTCCAAACCACCCAAATCAAGGAGGGAAGCTGATCGAGGGAAGCTGATTGGATGAGATCTTAGTCGAAAGCACCGTGAAAAATGCCAGGGCCATCTCTCATGACTTCCTTCACCCGGGCGTCGCACGGATTGGATCGAAGGAGTTGAGTGTGTTGGTGCCACCTCTATGGCTTTAGAGGGGAAACCGAGGCCCCGAGGCGCAGGGGCCCCGTTTTGAGGGCTGAGCCAATTCCGCAGCCGCCCAAAAGTAACCCGTTCAGGCGAGGCTTCCACTGGGGACAAGCCCGGCTTCGACCCCAACGACACCATGACCAGCCTGGGGAGGCAGAGCAAACGTCACGAAACGGGCGAAGAAACCGGCCAAGGGCGTGGCCGGATGGGAAGTCTTTAATTTGCGTTTAGAATGGAATATGTTGGGTTTCCCCTGCGTGTTTCGAGGGAAGCGATTTCACTACTGGAAATATGTAGGAGGGAGTTGTTTTCAAAGTTTGCCCGAAACGGGGGCACCCACAACCTGAAACGACCATTTGCAAGTGGTTGCCCAAACTGCCATGTTCCTTCAAGTAGGTCTATTCAAAGGAAACAGTTGTTTGGGAAACCACCATTTGCGGATGGTTGTTTTAGGTTCCAGCACCCTTGTTGTAGCTTCTAAAAATTGAAGCCCAGCGTTTTCCGGGCTATGTGCTCCCAAGAGAGCACATGCGAATCACATGGAACCAAGACGGATTCCGGTGGCATGAGAGGATGACGGCTCCAAGGGATTCCATTCCGCAAGACTGGGACCTCTGACGGAAGCCTCTGCTTCCAGGTACCACTCTTGTAGGTACCCAGGTATGGCTACCTCAAGGTTTTACATCAAAGTTTCCCTGGTTACCTACTACATCCTACTGGAAGCATTGGGCTAGCCATAATCTCACATCATCTGTTTGGGGGCAACGTTTCAGGTAGAGGCTCGCAACTCGGGAAGCTAGCGAAGCAACTTGAGGATCAGGAAGTGACTTGCCTATCCCACCTCACCTGCTTTCCAGGTATCTTCGCCGAGGTTGCTAGGTGTTCCTTTAGGGGACGTGTACAGATGAGTATTTGTGGAGTATCTCTTGGTGGTTCCCAGCCATCCGGTTCCTTGGCTTGTTTCGCCTTTTTGTGTTTCGTTGGGATTTCTGAATTGCACCCACGAAAAAGTTGAACTTGTAGCAGGGGATCTGAGGACAGCCCAGTATTTGTGGAGGTGTTTTTCTTCTCCAAGTTCCTCGTGAAGTTCTCTTGGCCTCAGGTTGCTACGTGCTGGTGTGCTGGATGATCACGCCAAAGTGGCCCGGCAGTATGCGACGCCTGGCAAAATACCTGAGGTTACACTTTGCACCCCAGGTTACGCCCGGCAGTTTCAAACTTGGGATCCTTTGGTTCTCGTGACCGACGTGGGAGTCGTGTCTAAACCGGCAATTGATTGGCCGGTGTCCAATTCAGATTCATGTCGCCATGTTTGAACCTGTGCTGAAGCCGGCGTTGCTCCTTTTCCTTGGCCGGGTGGAAAACAACAAGGCCGACTTCCCCCCGATTCGGGTCATGACCCCTGCAATGCAGACCCCTTACCACAGCTCCGTGTAGAAAGGACGTGGGCGCCGGTGTCCCCTTTGGTGCACTTTGCCAAGGGATGCTAGAACTGAATAGCTTTTTGCCAAATGGGTTTTCCGAATTAAACCACTAAAAGTTAAACTTGTAGCAGAGGAGCAGAAAGCAACCGAGTCACTCTGTCCGTAGGTTCCAGAGTCAACTGCTCGAAAGGCCCTGCGATGGGTTCCACCAACAGGTGCTCCTAAATTTGTGCCATTGGACACCCCAGCACAGCGAGTAAACCAAATTCCCCAGAACCGTTTCTCTCATTCTTGCAGCCGAACTGTATCACTCCCTTAACGGGCGAGACCCCTTTGGGATGTTTGAAGGATTGAAGGGGAACGAAGAGGATGTCAATCAACTAGGCGTGCCACGTCCAATCAATCAAGGCTGTAAAAATACAGTAACTATTCCGGGCAACCACAGTTGCGAGTAAAGTTTACTGTAAAACAACAACTTTTCTGACAGTGCACGACTACTCAGTGGAGGGCAGGAGAACGTCAGAGATCGTCTCATTCGCCCAGGATGGCGACTCGAGAGAGCCAAGAGATGCGATCGCTGCTGTGCCACGTGATCTCGTGGTCGCAGCAGTCGTCCCTCGGCAAAGTTTGCGCGTGAGAAACGCCGCGTCGAAGGCGCTCGACACAGAGGTGCGAACTGCGCCGTGAAAGGCTCAACGCACAAGGGTAGTTCGAACATTGCCGAAAGCTTATGCACGACCCTCCGGACCCAGGGGCCCTCCACTGGAGAACCCTGACCACTTGAAGACCGGCTCAGAACTTTTGGGGGGCCCAAGAGCCATCGAATCTTGGCCCTTGGAACGTTGGCCTCGGCTTCCCCAATTTCGTAGCCCACGGGTTTGGGATCGGACGAGTTGAGTGAGACGTTGCTGAGGTTGCGGCCCAGTGGTTTGCGAACCCGACCTTTCGGGTTGGAAAGCTACAGATGGTGTGTGTGTGTGACCGTGTGCGTGGGCGTGTTTGTTTCTTCTCCCAACATGGGGGCTTTCCACTTTCCGGTTGGTTTTCCCAGTCTGCGGAAGGCCTTCTGTCTTGCTGGGGATGGGAAAACGGCTTCCGGGCGTGACAGATAGGTTTGGCGAGTCGAGTTGGCCTTTTTGGGCTCGAACTCCAACTGTTTCAAAGGTGAAAGCGATCTGATTGGTGTGTGTTTTTGTCAGACGCCCACATGAGCGCAGCGAAAAGAAGTTATTTGTTGACCCATGCAACGACTACAGGAATTGTTCACTGGCCGCACGCCTTGCACATGCATTTGCAAGTTGCCGGTGCAAGATCCTGATTCACCCTTTGAGGTCCAAATGAATCCGCTTGGCCAGAGAGAAGCAAGCAACGTAGCCCCCCAAACGAATAAATGGCACTTTTATTTTTCTTTTCTTTTTCTGGAGGCTTGGATTTGAAGCCGTGGCTTGATAGGGAGAAAGCAATGCACGGCACAACCACCTGTTTGGCAGGCTCGTCTTTCTTTTGAGGGAACCCTAATCATTGGTTGGCTTTCAAGGGAAACCAAACGAAAAATCGCCATTTTGGCGGGCCCCTGTAAACAAAGGACACACTCGTTTGGGCCCAAGAAGCAGCTGCTGAACTTTTTGGGAGTACCCAGCTGACGGTTTTTCGAGTGCCGGCAAATGACCCGAGGCTTCCAGTCACGCCAGCTGGAGCAAAGGGACAGCCTGTCCTAGCCGCAGCCGCTCTGGCGGTGACTCGGCAAGTGTTACAACATGGTTGCCGATTTTTGTCGTGAGCTTACGGGAGGGTCAAATGGGCATGAGTCAAAATTAAACCAACAGGAATTGGACCGCAGGTTTTAGTCCATGTTTCCATTTGCCAGGGTTCCATCTTGGGGTTATCCTATATATTGACCCACAAATAGCTGCATGATTCTGTTGCTATGGCTCTGAACCAGTATTCTAGGGGTACCTTCCCCATTCTTTCCAGGCATGTTTTTTTCTAAAGATCACCCGACACCCTGGGGAAACAGCTGGTTTTTTGAAAAGAACGATGGTTGAAAAGAATGGGGAATCAACCCTAGAAGTGTATGAACCAAGAGAGGCAGGACGGGAAGGCGCACCACCAAAGAAGGATCGCACATCGAGCTAAATTGAAGGACCACCTGCCAGGCCCATGCAAATGTTGTGCTTAAGCGGCAAATATCATACATGGCCATGAACTCTTAGTACGGAGTTCCCTCGCAAGTGATTGCTGGACATGCCTCCCACCCAAAAGATCTCAAGCCAATCAAGGCACCCCTGCAAGTCTTGGATATTGTTTGTCAGCAACCATCAGCTTCGTCCCTGCTGCATGCATGAGCCCTACAGATGTATCAGAGCATTTTCATCCCAGGGGAATTGACTTACTGTGGGTGGACGAGGGATGATTCCCCCGTCAATACCAACAAACAAATGGTTTGTCATGGCTTAAAAGTGGTGCAGGGTTTCGTCCATCCACAGTATGTCAAAGGATTAGTTTGTTTGCTGTCCGGATTCAGAAGCTAACATGGTGTGGATCTTCTTTTGGGTAGCTTCCATAGATGCCATGCTCGCCCAAGACTTTAGGAAAGGAATCCGGAGGAGTGGGGAGGGATGGCAATCTTATGTTTGGGAATGAAAACGGATTTCTCGTTTTGCGTACTCTGCCTCCATCCCGGAATGTGTAAGAAACCCTTCCTGCAACAAGCTGACGTTATTTCAGGTACGGATGGCCTGACGGTTGCTCCAACAGGGACGAATCTGCACTTGATGCGTCGGATATGGGTACCCTGTTTGTATATGGCCATGGGTCACAAGCCCGTACCCCCAGTAAACATCCCAATCCCCACTAAAATAGACTAAAATGGGTGGTGCACCTACCCCAAAATGGTACCATTCATTTTGACCCACTGCCATATGTCCCTTGCCGGCTTTAACATCATCGTTTTGGCCATGGGACGTGCTGTCACGGCTGATGTGTTGACCAAATCGCCCCTTAGACCTTTGGAAGCCACTTCTTTTCCACTTCTGAACATCTGGGTAATAAATGCACTGACGCTTGCAGACCTTGACAGTTGTGCTAATTTCTTTCCAGCACCTCCCAACGATTGCTTTTTGGAGACTTGGGATTTACATGGTTGAAAAAGCAGTTGGGAGGGTGTACTGGTTGGAAGTGCGCAACGCCATGCGAGCAGCGGCCAAATTTCCAACTGGCCATTCTAGCACGTAGATGGTTCTGCCTGGCGTTGTGTTTTGCTTTTTGTAGGACTCCAGCCTTCATAACTCATGTAATTGATAACCCTTCATTAGTGGCTTGGATTGGTGGTTTGGGGACTTGAACCGTAGAGGGTAAATGGGAAACCAGCCCGAACCACCAAACCGCCAACAGTCGCAACCAATTATTGGGAAGCTGACATGAATGATACACTTGGGTGTTCAAACCACTTAGCAAGTTGGGTATTACCATGGTCAATTTAGTGACTAAGTTCAGTTTCCCCACTTCTATCTAGGATTGACTACTGGGGGACCTAGAAAACAATTTCCGAGGCGCCCTAGCGCCCAGTGGTAACCCAACGTGGGTCATCTTGGGTGGTCAAGCCGCTTGCATTGGTTTGTGTTTTACGTATAACAAAAAGGAAACAAAAAACAAGGCGTTGCTTTGTTTAAACAAAACAAAAAACGAAAATAATCCAGCCCAATGCGGGTTTTTGAGAAAACAAAACAATGTAGGTTGGAATCGTGGATATAAGTGGGGTAACGGAAGTGAGCACTTGCTAAGTATGTTACATCTCTACTTAACATGTTGTGTACTTTTTCATATGTGGGTGCAAAGTGCCCTTTTTCACCAACTTTTTTTGTTGGGAGGGTTTCCTTACTATGATAGACAACACTGAAGAAAGTTGGTACCAACTTCTTCTAACATTTCAAATCTGGAGGACCTAGCATAGGAACCCCCTAAAAAACCCACCCAATTGTAGTTGAAGGAATCTCCCAACCCCCCCCCCAAAAAAAACAACAACAACCACAACAATGTTTTGGTAAAGACCACGTTGGGTTCGTTTTGTATGTTGAAGCGCATTGAGACCACCCAAGGTGACCCACGTTGGGTTACCGGGCGCTTGAGCGCCTCGCCTCGGCTCGCGAAGGGTTTTGGTAAGGACCTAGCATAGGAACCCCCTAAAAAACTCCCACTTTTTGAAGGAATCTTCCAACCCGTTTCCCCCCGCCCCCAAACAAAAAGCAAAACGTTTATGTTTTGGTAAACACCACGTTTTCGGAACCCATTTGTTGAAGGAGTCTCCAAAGCAAATAAGAGCCGTATATGGTTTTGGTAAAAGGAGCAGCTGGAGTCCTTGGAGCGGCAGCTGGAGTCGGCGCTGCGCCGCGCCAAGCCATACCCTCAGCTCTTTCAGGCGCCATGCGCGCGGGGGGACGGGGACGGGGAGGCAGGGCCTGGACTCCGTGTGTTGGTCGTGTTTTTGTTTTTTTGGTTTTCGGGCTTGGTTTGTTTTCGTTGCTTGTTATGTTTACAATTGTTGTGACAGTTGAAGTTTTTCGTTGTTTTTTTGTTCTCATTTTCTGCTTGGGCGTGGGTTCTCACAATAGAAACCAGGGGAGTTCCATAGGTCGTTTCCTCCATCAAAAGATTCTCAGCCGAGCGGATTTTGGCCTCGAGGCCTGGAGGCTGGCAAGCAGAGCTAGAATCAGCGCCATGTTTGTTTTCGACCCGAGGAAGCTCCCTAATATCCAAAAAGAAAGCAATGGTTGGGGACCCAAATACGGGGAATGAGTTTCTTCCTGGTTTTGGTGGAAGGCGGACTTCAAGGTGCACCCCTAGTGAAGCTTTTAAATTTTGTGTTCAAATGGGGTGAATATCTTTCATGTTTGGATGAGTTGGTGTTATTTGGGTTGGTTTCTTTTGGGTCTTTCGTCTCCCAAAAGACGCACTGGGAGAAGTTGACTTCGACACGTCGCGGTCTCGAAGGTCCTGAAAAGAAATCCCCCCCCGAAATCCCTGTCCGGTCCAATCAAAACCAGGAGTCCCAGCGCCCATGGGCACTTGGTGTCTGAAGTCCTGACAGAAGCTGACGCCATATCTCGAACATGCGGCCTTTCCGGGTTTCCGGCGGGTTTGGTCCTTCCTGAGTTCCTGAACTTGAGACTTTTTGGGAAGACCATCTCATGGTTGTTGTTGGGAAACATTTTATATGTTTGCTTATTGCGGTTTAGTGGTTGAAATCCCCACTTAGATGCTAAATTTTGAATCTTGGCTCCCCTTCAACGTGAATCAAGAAGTTCAGACCTGTTTTAGCCTTTGCAAACAAACATGGCCCTTTGTCACAGACGCTGGGGTGAGATGGGCAAGCGAGGCAAGGTGATCGGCAACCAAAAAACCGCACCGGGCTTGAATTGGGCCGGTGCCCCAAGCTTTAAGATGCCCAAGGTGCCTTGAGCTTCCCTTTTCCTTTGCTCACTTCTGGTTTCCCCTTCGATTCTTGACTGCTCTTGGGTTGGATCTTTAGACTTTAACTTTTTTGGAAATCAAGGCGTTTTCCACTAAACCCCCCAACAAGGAAAACTTTTTGCAGGGGGATCAACAGCAACCAAGTATTGGAACCTGTCCTTTGGGTGTTTTCCCTGTTTCCCTGCACCCTTTTCCCTGTCCTCCACCAGTCCCGAAGAACCCACCCCTCGCCAGGAAGAGAAGCCCTTGGCCGGCGACGACTTCTACCTGGGCGGCTCGTTTTGTCTTTTTCTTTTTTTTGTTCTTTTTTGTTTACTAAATATATCATTTTTTTGAGGGGGTCGTTTTGTGTTTTTTGTTTTCAGGTTTTTCGGATTCAACGTATAAATTGCCCTCGGGGAGTTCCGGTCCCCAGAAGCCTGGCCCCTTGGAACTCCAGAAAGAGAAGACTCGCGGATCCGGAGTCCTTGGACCTTGGGCACTTCAGGGGGTGGGACGTGGTACACAAAAAGTGAGCAGACTTTGGGGCCCAGATGCGCTTAGGAAGTGGGCAGGTGACAAATTTTAGGGTAACCCCCCCATGGCCCTTGGAATCCCAGGTGGGTTTCTTTGCGCCGTATGGCGCATTTTTGCCTTTGGCGTCATGTTTGAGCTCCACAGGGCCCCAAATGGAACTTGTCAGGAGATGTAGGCCAAACCTCACATGGGTTGATCACTATTCCCCTTCGGGGCCCCCAGTTTTGACCATGGGTAAAGCTTCTCCCATGTGGTGAGCATATCTTTGTTGTTTAGTAGGTTTTGCAAGCACGCGCCATGTATATGACCTTGTGCTCAACCCCCATATGGGTCTCTGTTTTTTGAGGCTACCTTTTTGTTCTGACTGAGGATGGGTTTAAAAGGGAAGCCAAAAGGAAAGCCAACAATCTGACAGGTCAAATCTCTATTTGAAGACATGCTCACATGAGTTTTGAAATGATCAACGCAGACTTCGACATTCAAAGCGGGACAAAGCCAAGCATCAGTATTCATGGCCTACAGCACATCCCAAGTGCTCGTTGGTGCACCTTGGGTTGCCACGCACAGTTCTGGCCCCAGGTCCTCTTGTCATGCCGCTCTAAAAACGCCCCGCTTGGATCATTCGTTGCCTCTCCCCGTGGTGGGAAGCTATTTTCCTCTCCCCAAACCTGAGGCACCTTCTACAAGGACCTCAGTGAGACATGGCTGCGGCGCTTGAGAGCGATGCGCACCTTGGCTCGTCCATTTGCGTTGAAATGAATATATGTTGATGATTTTCCCTTGGTCCTTGTTGGTTTTACTGGGATTTATTTTTCCCAGGGGCAAATGGAAGATGTTGCTTTTGCTTTTTTGGGGGGAAGGGGTTCCCTCGAAAATCTGCTGGGGGGAGTTTGGGCGGGGGGTTGGGGGCTGGGGTTTGGGGGCTAGGGGTTTGGGGGTTTGGGGGTTTGGGGGTTTGGGGGGAGTTGGGTTTGGGGGGTGGGAAGGTTATGTCGGGCCACTGGAAACCAGCATCTTCAAAGACAAACTGGGTGTGGGTCAAAATTAAACCACCCGGATATGGAACGCAGGTTTTGGTCCATGTTTCCATTTACCAGGGCAACCCATTTTGGGGTTATCATTTATTTTTGACAACCACCGCCAAATCTGAAGGGAGCTTTCGCGACCAGAAGTGGGCGTGACTTTTTGAGGGGACCCGCTGAGGACCCCGTTCTTTGTGGTTTCAACGGGATCCAAAAGGAAAACCATGAAAACCGCCATTCCTTTATTAGGTCAAAACCAAGTGAGTCACATGTGAAGAAAATGAAAAGCCCGCGCCTTGCTTTGCGGTGACACGGTTGCAGCCGCCATGTTGGGGCAAATTTATGTTTGACCCACCGCCTTGGGATCATCTGCCAAGTGAACCACAGGCTCCAATCAGCCAACGGATCACATGTGAGCCTGTGGCATCGGATCCCGATGCGTGCAAGCCCAAGCTTAGCGCTTCAGTTGCTGTCTTAGGGTTTGATTCCTTTTCCATTCGTTTCAACCATCGTTCTGTTCAATACCGGCCGTTTCCCCTGGGTTTATGGAGGTTTTTGGAAAGAAGGATCCCTGGAAAGAATGGGGAAGGTACCCCTAGAGTTTTTCTTTAAATATACATATATATATATATATGGGACCCCCCAAGGCTGCCAGTGTCATGGATGTGTCATGTACATCCAGGGGACTAGTAATTCGCCCGCTCCAAAGCGACCAGGGCAGCCCCCCCCCCCCCGCCCAATATTCCTCTTTTTGTGGTCTTATTTTTGGCTTCCCCCTTTTAAACCCACAAAAGAGGGACCAGCTCCAAAAACAAGACGAGCCACCTTGTCTTGGCAGCAACCGCTTCAAAATTCCGCGGACTCCGAGGCCAGAATCTCTTGAAGTTCATGGAGTGCCAGGCCTGGCGTGCTTTTTTGGTGTCCCTTTGACCAGGTCCCCCAGGACCGTGCCCTTTTTTTACAGTTTCTTTTTTGGGGGAGGGTTCCACTAAAATAGACTACAGCAAAAATGGGTACCAACTTATTCTAACCTCTCACATCTGGAGGACCTAGTTGAACATCGGGGTGTCTCTTTTTTGAGGGTCCTTTTTGTGCAAGCTGGTTTAAGGGGAAGCCACAAGGAAAACCGGTGCCCGTCTGTTTTCTGTTGGGGGTTCCCTTAAAAAGGACATACACCCAACTAAGACATTAGGGTTCTTGGGGATGGGCATCCACCTGGCTTGGATCCGGAGCCATGGTCATAGGATGTCATAGGCCATAAGTGGAGTTTTGAGCATGGCTCATCTAAACCAATGTCCCCCGAGTTGGTCATTTCTCTGAGCGCTTGGATCCAACCAACCCTTGCGTTTTTGGCAGTAGGGATGATGTATTGGTATTGTCTAAGCCATCAACAAAGGGACACGGTGCAGCCTTTGGGAGATGATGTTTAGAGCGGAATGTCTTGCTGTGTTTCAGCGTGTCATTTGGAGTTTGCCTTTGGGTGGCCTTTCAGTTTGAAAATCAAGCGGTCGGTTCCTTGTGTTTAATTTTACTGGTTTTTTGCACCTGTTCAGGGATCCCCCAATTGTACCGAAGAGGTGACAAGTAATAACCCCTGTGTTGGAACGAAGTGTCAGAACCCAACCCTGAGGTGCTTAATTCGCCCCAACATGGCACCCAAAGGTATGCTCTGTTTCAATCCCTTCAACCGTTGACTTCAACCCTGCCCAAAGTGAAACCCTTCTAAAAAAGTTCAAAGAAGGATGTTTTGTTTGAAGCTAAACCAACTTGAGCCACTTTGACCACTTTCGGAACTTGACCCAACCAATCAACCAACCCAACCAAACCCAACCCAACCCAACCCAACCCAACCCAACCCAACCCAACCCAACCCAACCCAACCCAACCCAACCCAACCAACCCAACCCAATCCAACCAACCCAACCCAACCCAACCAACCCAACCAACCCAACCAACCCAACCAACCAACCAACCCAACCAACCCAACCAACCCAACCAGCTTGCACCCCCGGTTTCCATTTCGGATCCCTTGGACCCACCGTTTCCAACTCGCCACTCGCCAGGACCTGTGGTTGCACCTCTCGCCCTCCAAAAACGACCTTCGCGCCGAGCTGCGAAAGGCTGTGCCTCGGATCGGATTTTTCCACGTCTTCCCCCCCCGAGTACCCTCCCACCTCTTTCAATCCTGACGTTCGAGGGTCCCGGGCACAAGAAAAGAAACATTATTATGGACCAAACGTCAGGGTTTAGATGGGAGGGCAAAAGAGGGCCCAAGGGGACCCAATTCGGATGATGACACTCAATAGGTGAACTATGGTGGGGTTAAAAGGAAACCGAAGGTAAAAACGTGTTTTTGTTTTTGTTTGGGGGGGTGCCCTACTTTCACACACATCGCAAATAGGGCAACCCAATCAGCTTGGATCGAACGGTTTCGTTTTGATTTTTGAAGGGTACCGAGACTCAGCGAAAGACGAGGTAGCTGGATTTCGGGCCACTTGCTGTGATACCAATCCCGAAATGGCCATGGTTCAAAACCAATGGTACCATTTTGGTTGGTAGGTGCACCACCCATTTTAGTCTATTTTTGTGGGGATTGGGATGTTCACTGGGGGTACAGGGTTTTGACCCATGGCCAAATGAAGTGATGAAGTCGTCCTGATGACAATCCCAGTTGGTACTGTGGATGGTTGCAAAATCCACTTCGCACCACCGTTCGGAAGCCCCGGAATGATTCGATGCCCCAACAAAACTACCAACGAACCATTGGTTTCAACCATGGTTTCAAAGTGGTTTCCGAATGGATTTCGCGAAACCATCCAGAGTATCACTAAAATAGGAGGCATATCCTACCACGAGACGTTTCCTCGAGCTGCCGGGGCCGCAGTCTGTGGGTGTCAGCACCAAGAAAGGGCAAGGGGGATCAGGAAGACTCGAGCAAGGCGACGACCTCAAAGGCGACCCTGACCTTGTTTGCCTTCCGTTTGCTTATGAATATTTGTTATTTTCCTTGTTGGTTTTAAGAGGAACTTATCACCACTGGAAATATTTGTATTTTTTTCCGGGGTCTTAACCAAATTTGAAGTGGCCCTTTGAGTTCTGGTTAAGCTCGAAGTTCAAGTCTTTTGGACGAATGTGAGTGCGTCTTGCAATGGACCTTCAAAATGGCCGGGGCCCCGTTCCATTTCTGAGAAAGGGACTGTTGAAATCGGGGGAACCGGAAACCAAACCAATGTGGGATCCCCTTGTTGGTGACTTACTAAGTTTTCACACCTGATTCTCCCATGTTCCCCATGGCGCTTGTACCCATTTACTGTTTTGATTTGAGTTTCCACATACCCCTTCAGGAAACATCCGGCGGAGGTTCAGGTTTTGGGCTTTGAGCCTGGATGAGTTTCCCTGGTTTTCAGTCTGGTTCCAATCATTTACCAGTAGAATCCATCTTATCCAAAGGCACCGAGATCAAAAGCTGTAAGAGTGAAATGTCCTAAGCACCTGGTATAGTATATTCGGCGCAATCCCCGATGAAACTCTGGTTTATGGCTTTATCAACCAGATTCAACCAGTAGTTCTGGCTTGATCATTGGCAACCAGCCACCACTGAATCACGTGGGTATGTCTCAAAATTAAACCACCAGACCGCAGGTTTAGTCCAGGTTTCCATATACCACGGCAACCCACTTTGGGGTTATCCTATTTTTGGGGCTCATCAACATTTTGGACCCGGCCCCAACATTCAGGTGTCCTGTTAAGTAACATGGCTGTGGCCCAAAATATTCTGATGTTGATGCTCTATCTAAACAAATCTTACTCCTAAGGCCACCTGAATGGGTGTTAAGGCCCACATAATTTCTTTTAGGTTTTTCAGAGTGCCATTGGCGACGGCCGGTTCTAAGGATGTGATCTTTCGCTCCCTGGCGGACGACATGGCCGCCAATCCGCAAGCCCGCACCTGCTTGGAGGACTTCCGATCCAATGATCCCAGATCTGGGTTCGGTTCTGGGGGAGTGAAGGTGATCCAAAACCTCGGCACTGAGGTCATGCTTGTTGTTGGGAAACAAAGGTCATCTAAACATGGTTGTTGTTGGGAAACATGTTACATTTGTTGCGTATTAATGGATTTTCCGTATTAAACCACCAAACATGCTTGTTGTTGGGAAACCATAACAAGAAAACATGTTTGGCTTATTGCGGTTTAGTGGGTGAAATTCCCACTTGACTGCTAGAATTTGAAGATTATTGCTCCCCTTCCAACGTCAACCAAGAGGTGAGCCGGTGATTTCCCTACATATCTGCTTTTCACTGCCTCGATTTGGGTGCAAAGGGGCTATGGGAATCCTCCGCTTCAACAAGGGCACATTTGCTGTGGGCGTGTCCGGAATGTCATTTTTCTTGGCCAATTTAGGGGGCTTCTACTTGGTCAAATGGTCGATTTTCGGTGAGGCCGATATGTGGCTTCAGCCATTTCGGGGTTCGAACCAACAGTCAATGAGTTTTGGACAGCGTGCATGTGTTGTCCACAGAACTGATGTTCAAGAAAAGCTGGCACGTTAATGTCGTCCGATTTCAAACCCGGCCCAAGCTCCTATGATTGTTGAGGGCGTCAAAACAGGGGCTGGCACCTTATTGCATCCATGACAAGATCGTGCTAGGTGCTTTCTTCTTTCGGGGGCAGGTCCCCAGGCCTTTGTTCAAAACTCAACCATATGTAGTCATCACCTCCGGCCCACCAATGGAGGGATCGACTCGGGCCCTCAGAATCGCCACAAGCATTCGGCTGGTTCTCTTTCCCACTAGGCCCCCCAGCTAGGTGCCCTTTCTCACCGTTTCTTTTTTGGTTGGGAGGGTTCCCCGGCTAAAAAATAGACTACATTAGACTACAGAAAAAAGTCGGGTACCCCGTATTCCAACCTCTAAATCTCGAGGACCTAGCCCCCAGTCTGGAGGTTTTTTTTTTTTTTCGGCTGGGACGCGCAGGACGTTCTGTCCAGCGAGGGCGGGGTGCAGGAGGCGCGGGATCTATCGATCTGAAGGACCTTCTTTAGGGGGTTTGGACGTAGGAAAAAGCGTGTGTGTGTGTGTCTTTTTTTTTGGGGGGTGCCCTTTTTGGTGGGTTTGAAGGGAAACAAACAGGCAAAGGCCCAGCCATTATTTGGGTGCCGAAAAAAACAAGTCAGGCGTTTGGAAGAGAATGTTAAGAGGAACACCTTGAAACACCCCCACCGGGTACCTACCATGCTCAGGAACCTATGTCAGCCACCTTTGGGTCACCTTCTTGGAATCCCAGCTTGGCTTAGGGCCCAAAGCTTACACCTTGACTTGCCAGTCAACTCAGATACGTGGTCTTCCATTTGCTGAAATGAATATATATATATATATATATGTATTTTTGTTCTCGTTGATTTTAAAGGGAATCTATCGCTGGAAATATGGCCATGGTTCAAAACCAATGGTGCCATTTGGGGTAGGTGCACCACGCATTTTAGTCTACTTTAGTGGGAATTGGGATGTTCACTGTGGGTATGGGGTTTTGACGCATTCTTTCCAGGCGAAAAAGCAAATGGAAGTGGTGATTTGAATGGCTTGAGGACTTGAATCAAGCCTAGTTCTGTAGATGGAAAGCTAAGCTCCAAACCACCAATTCGATTGAAGAGAGAAGCGATTTCGCATACAAAACGTGCAAGATCGATCCTCAATTAAAGAAACTTCGTGGTGCTCAAGGTGCCACCAATCCAAATCCTCAAATGCGGCCAAATGAGCCACGTGCTCAAAAAATGGGTCCATGAACGTTAGTAACAGATACTCCCAACCATAAATAGCTGCGGATATCCGCCTTCTTGATTCTTGAAGCATGGTTCTCTTGACTGCTATTCGGTTGGATCTTTAGACTTGAACTTTTTGGTTGAAGTCACGGCGTTTTCCACTAACCCCCCAAAAAGTGCAACTTTTTGCAGGGGGATCCATAGCAACCAAGGTCTGGGTAGACCATTTTAGTACCGGGTGATTGTGACTCAAAGGACCGTTGGGGCCCCGCCAGCGCCTCGCCCCGCTCGATGTCTCACATCCGCGCGAGGCCTGTGCCCTCTTCACGCAGGCCTACGCGCGGGCGAGTCGGGACTTGCAGGCGAGGTGGATTTTTTTCCGGGGGGATTTGGGTGTGCTTGTCCAAAATAGGATAACCCCAAAGTGAAAACCTGGTAAATGGAAACAAGGACCAAACCTGTGGTCCCCAGGTGGTTTGATTTTGACCCATACCCATTTGGGCCTGGAGGCGTCTCTTCGGCTCATCTCCTTTGTTAAATGCAGTTACCATATAACCAGAGAGCCCGTAACGGTTATATAAGGGGTCGCCGTAACGGGTTTGGATGTCAGGCAGTTTCAGGCAGAACTTATCTCTTGGTTCAATGCATTTTACATTTGGACTAGGTCCCCCAGTAGTGCCCTTTCTCACCCATTGTTGGGGGAGGGTTCCCCTAATTACTAAAGGAGACTAGAGCAAAAAAGGGTACCCTTATTCTCACCTCTCTACTGGAGGACCTAGCATAGATAAACCTCAATTTGCTTAGTACTAGTTTGTATTTTCCCTTGTTGGCATGTCAGGGAATCTATGAATCTATCACTACTGGAGGTATGCTTGATTTGTTCCTGGGGACTCAAGCGAACGGGAGCTTAAGGTTCACTCGATATGCCTTGTGTGGGATCTCAACCGCTTTGCATCTTAAGGTTCACTAAATTGGATTGGACATCATCGCGGCTTAGATGTGTTACCAATTGCGGTTCACATATATCATACGTTTGATCATACGTAGATATACATACATATACATATATACATATACAATGTAATCATACACATGTAATTATATATATACACATGTTTTGATATTTCTTGCCCTCAATCAATGTACTTTTTACCGTCGGGGCAAACGCTGAGGCAGACTGGGAAGATGACTATGTTCCCGTGAACCAGCAAGTTTGAAGGGCCAACAAGGTACAGGAGAGACTGACAGAAGCCAACGGGCCCCAAAACGGGAGCCAAGATGAAGGCAACACCGTCGTTGCACTCCAAACCTGGCCTTCACATAAAGGGAGCATGCGAATCTCAAATTTCCCTGAGACCCTGAGCTTTTCATGAAGAGGTGCGTTTTGTTGAGGGTACCTGTTGGCATGTTTAAGGGAAACCAAGTGGACACCACTTGAGTCACAATCAAAACCCGGGTATGTATAGGTTAGTAAGGGACAATCCCAACATAAATTGCTGCGGCCGCCTTCATAGTTCTTTGCATGGTTCTCGACCATTTTAATACCGGGTTTTGATTATGACTCACTTGTATTTTGATTTCTGGGGGGATTCTGTGTGGCGTGAAATGTGTTGCGACAGGATCTGCGGGCTGAGTGCTTTCGACTCTTCTTCCTGGAGGATGAGGCGTGGTTCAAATCGAAAAGCACCGGTTTGAACGCCGTGAGTTTTTGTTTCGATGAGAGTTGCCACCAGGTTTCTCAAGTCCTCTCATTTTTGAGAAGCCCTATGTTGGATTTGCTTAGATCAGTCATATGTTGGTTCGTGGCTTCGTTGGGAATCGTCCGCAGTTGGAGTCTCTAGTCGCTTTGGTCGCAGAAACAATTAAAAGGGCTGGCGAAGCCCCAATGTGCTCATGCGGGCAGAGGTGTGGAGACTTTGCCAGAGCAAGGGACCTTGAAGATGCACACAACAGACGGTAGACTTGGCATGACCCAATGGTCAAAACGCTTTCGGGTTTTGATAGCCTCCGAACCACTGCTCTCTACACCAGCCTGAGGTATAGAACCATACTTGTGGCCACTGCATGAGTTGATCTTCAACGCATTTGTTGGGTGTCTCAGGTTGTTTGGAGTGTACACCTTCGAACATGATGGCAGCAAAGATTGGCATCCCAAGTTCGGAATTGACCTTCTGATCACCAAACCTGGCTTAGGGAGCGGGGAGGGGGGTGATGTTGAACGATGGTGCCCCTTTCAAGGCACACGATTCGATTGCTGTATTTCTGGCAATCGGCTCGGATATGTTTGAGGTTTCTCAAACCCAGAGGCTCCTGGGGCTTTCAACCCGACCCCTCCATTAGACACCCCGGGAATCGGTGTTTGGGGGCCCCGGGAATCGGTGTTTGGGGGTCTCAAGACCTGGCTGTTAAATCGGGCCCTACATCGGGAGCCTTTGGGAAGGAGTGATGTCAGTGTTACTCTGAAAAGAAATGGAGCCAGAAAGGGGAGCCGCCAAGATAGCTCAACAGTTCACCTGGGGTAGACTTAGGATACATTTTACCATTTTATAAAATATACATTCTATAACCAGGCCTCACTCTAATCCTATCACGTATTGTCAGAGTCATATGAGTGCAAATCAATGAATCTCGTAGGTGCCTGTGGTTTCTGCATTGAAACGCCCTTTCTTTCTGTGACCATTGTGTGAGCAACGGGCAAGTTTGCTTGGCGGTTGATTCCATGGATTCAAAGTCCCACAAGGTCAGATCTCAGCGGATCAATGACCCACGTCTTGCAAGTTGGCGACTTTACTTCGCTCCCTGGTTTGGATGTGACAGCAAACTCGAGGAAACCTAAACCCTAGGCGTTCCATCAATAAACGAAGGGATTCTGGTTGCTGGCAGTTTCTCAACGGAAAATCGTCCTGCTGGCTGGATTCAATTACGGCGAAATGGTGGTGACTGCTTTCGAAGGAAACTATTCTCGACGCCTGGTTATTTTGGCCCACGCCAGGCCTAGGGGCAAAAAATAGCCCCAGAAAAAAACAACACCTTTACCATACTCATTTGCCTATTTAAAACATGCTTGGTGACTTTTGACTTTCACTTTTTGGGTTTGGATCATTCCAGTGGCAACCAAAAACGATGTTTGGTGACTCTTGACTTCAAGCTTTTTGGGTGTGCACCATATTTAGTGGCAAGTCAAAGATAAGCATGTTTTTAGTCATCATAAACATGTGTCCTTTTGACTATACAAACCAATTATGTTTAAAAAAAGGCTTGACTTTTTTTTGCAAGGGCCAGGGCCACTCGATGGGAAGTTCGGAAGCGCGAATTGCGCCCAACCCACTCGATGGGTTTGAAGTGGTTTGGACCTCGATCTCCAGGCCCTCCTGGAGCTTTGCGGCAGCACCAACATCTCGCGGCCACCCGGCTGTCTTTGGCTTGAGATGCAGGTGCCATAGACGTGGGGGTCATGGGAGCCCCAAAGTCCCTAGCTTCCAGCTGTCGGCCAAAAACAAAAGTACAAAAGCAAAGAGAGAAACACTTGAGCATATCAAAGTTACCAACTTCCTTTCAAAGGCCTAGAACCGCACACTCAAGGCCCCGGATGGGGCGGTGAAACGACCAACACTCACCTCACCTCTTGGTCGTCTTCTGGAGACATTGGTCGACGCAGCGACACCTGCAAACCTGGGGGCATTGGAGCACCTGGGATGGGAGGTCCTGTGCTTCGTTGCAAACTGGGAGCTCGGAAAAGCTGAGTTGTTGTGTTTTATTTGTGGGAGCTCGGAAACTGGGAGCTCTCAAGAGCTCGGAAAAGCAAGTTGGTTTACATGTGTGTTTTGTTTTAAGAAAAAAGCAACTGATTTGTTGTTTTGTTGTTTAAATAGAACCCCACAAATCCAGTGGTGTTGATTTACCAAAAACAAAACGCAAGTGATTTTGCAATTGTGATGTTCACTTAATTTGGGCGTAGTCTTGTTTTTGGAGGGTACCTTTGTTGAGTTGGTTTTAAAGTGGAACCAACAGGAACACCAAGCCATTTTGGGGCCACCCTGAAACCGACACCCAGAACGATTTTGCCATGAAGCAGCATATCTTGGGTGTTGCGCAGTTTAGGGAGGGGGGCAAGAGCTGGGGTTGAAGACAGTCAACCCCCGTTTTTTGAAGGCAACGGGAAATCGAACAGAAACCTAAGCCTCATTTTGGGAAGGAGGCCACCATTTTGAGACAACCCCATATATGATTTGTGCTCGGTCAGACCCTGTGGTGCACGAGATTTAGATTTGTGTCCACCATTTTGGAGGTGTGTTTCACAAAAAAGCACAAGCCAAACGGCAGCTGTCGGTTTGGGCCGTTTTGGACATCACTTGCCAGTGTTTCTTTTTCCTGTTTTTTTTTCCGGGAGAACTATGAGGAGCCATGTTATTTCATCTGCTTTCAGTAGCCAAAGCAGATCGCTTAAGGTGCTGGACAGCCTGTGAAGGATGGTGCTCAATTAAAAGTGTTGGCCAGTGCTGGTTGTTAGTGAAGTACCACTGGCGTGTCTCCATGTAGAAATTGTTGTTTGGTTCCTCGGTTGAGGGGAACAAGTTGAGGTAGGATGTTGGGGAATGAAGATTTTGGGTGGCGTGCTTGTGTTTCTTGTGTGTGTGTGTGTGTTTTTTTTGGGGGGGAGTCTGCATATTTGGTGCTTTGGATTTGGATTTTTGCCCTGGTTCTTGTGGTCAATTGGACCCCCCTCCTTCACCAAACCACCGATTCAGTTCCAAGCCAGCAAACAACAAGGGAAGCTGATAGCTTCCTTTTTGGGAACCGGCTATTCACAAGCGAGTCCATGTCCAAGAAGATTCCCCAGATGTTGTTCTTGTAGAGGGTAAATTGGGAACCACAGGGCTCCAAACAACCGGGCTGCGGAGTCATCTCAGGAGCAATTGCTTGCCTCAGCTCTTTCCTGGCTGGTCAGAGGTGACTTTCGCACCAGGCCCCAAAGCGCGACCGAAGCGAATGAGGGGAGTGTCTGGTATCGCACAAAAAATGCAAGTATAATTCATATATATATATATATTTATACACACTGATATGCACACACACACACTGTATGTTTGGATTTCATACCAACCAACAAACTCCCAACATGGTTTATTTGCCAAGATATGAAGAGTAAGTACGTGGTCTGCAGACAATCCCTTTCTTCATTCAAGCGCCGATTATATGAGCAAGACCGGCCAAGAGCTTTCGGCAGAGCTTTTTCCAGACTAAAACATTGATGACACTGCTTGCATCACATCCGCGGTGCTGAACACCAATATGATTCGTGGGTGACACACGGAGAGCGTCTAACATGACACTTCAATCCCGAATAGATATCCAGAAGCAGATTGGCATAGGCGAGACAACAAAGAGCGCCGGGGAGAAGGTAGGATTGACCATGAGATCCTTGTGAACAAAAGAGCCGCACATCCTGAAAATAGCACGCAGAAATTGCAAACACACATCCAGATGGATTAGACCTCAACTCGGTGCCACAATCAAATAGATGTATATACAAGTGCTATGCGTACACATACCCCGTTTTCCAAGCACACACTTTTTCTGAGGGAAGAGCCCGCCAACCCGCAACAAAACAACCAGTTGCCTGTGCTGAGGATCCCTCCCCGCATTATGTTCACAAGCCAGCCGGGGGTGGTTTCAGTAGTTCAACTCTCACATGTCCAAGAAGTTCCCCTCTACTGATGGTTCAGGGCATGCTATGCACGTGGGAACCATGGCTTTTTTCAATTGGATACCATGTCTTCCAATTGTGCATCAGTTCCCATTTGGCCATGGGTCAATAGCCCGTACCCCCAGTGAACATCCCAATCCCCACTAAAAAGGACTAAAATGGGGGGTACACCTACCCCAAAATGGTACCAAGGGTGTTGACCCTGCCCATGTTCTAAATTCAGTGAGTCATGATTTTCCAGGCCCCTGCAAACGCGTGCCAGTTTGGGCTCCACCCGGAAATTGGGCGAAACTCACGAACTAAAAACTATACCCGTCGGCTGCGAGGTTTGTGGGTGGCACTAGACGGGCTGAGAAAAATGTCGTCCGGCTCCGTTTTAGTGTGGATGGACAAAATCCATTTCGCGCCAAATTGCAACCATGGTTGAAACCATAACGCTTGTTGGTATTTGCGTTGGGGAATCATCAGAAACCAGGGCTTCTCACCGGTGGTGCGGAATTGCAACCATCAGCTTCCTGAGTGGCCAACATGGCAACATCCATCTCAGAAGACCCTTGCAGGGCGGCGCCCAGTCAAAGGTATTGGGTTTGGGCCCTCGCCCTTAGCATTCCTCTCGTAAGAAACCATGCAATTTCAGCATGGTTGTTGTTGGGAAATATTTTACATGTTTGCTTTTTGTGTTTTAGTCTTTGAAATCCCCACTTAGCTGCTAAAACATGATTCTTTGCTCCCCTTCAACGTCAACCAAGTCAGGTTGGTGAAATATCATGGTGCCGGCTGCACCATTGAACACTCGGCGACAAGGTTGGAGGTGGAAGAAGGTTCCCACAATGGCAAGGCCGAGCTTGACTCACTTCTCGAGTTCATGAACTCTAGACTTCTTGGGAAGGCCGTGTTAGTGTTTTGTATTTTCTAAACAAAAATGAGTACGGTTGCTGTTTTTGGGCCAATTATAGTTCCTTTGTTTTTCTTAACAGAAATGAGTATGGTTGCTGTTTTTGGTCCAACTCCACTCAATCGGAAGTGAGTTGAGTTTGCCGTTTCGGTTTTTTGTTGGCCGCCCCCAACGCTCCCCCGAAGTCGCACTTGCCCAGATGCCGCAACTCCCGGCTCTTCCGCCTTGAGCCACCGGGCTGAGAGGCTGAGAGTCTGAGAGACGAAGCGTCCAAAGAGGAAAAGCCATTGCCAAGGATCCTTGGAATACCATATGAAATACCCAGTGAAGCACCTGCTATTCTTCGGACCTAGGAAAAACGGTTTAGATTTTTGCGATTTGTGTCTGGGGGTTGATTCCTTTCCCATTCTTTTCAACCATCCTCCTTGTCAAAACGCGGATCCGTTTCCCCTGGGTTTGTGCAATGGTTTCCTGAAAAGATTCGGATCCCTGGAAAGAATGGGGAAGTACCCCGAGAAAGGAGATGTCCTCCAAGGAGGAGGGCTTTTTCATGGCTTCCTTCGTTGCGCAAATGTTGCTTTTTTTTTTGGTTCCGTTGTCATGGTTTGTTCATCCAGGTGTTAAATGTTGCACACCTGGGGTCTGTAATTACGTTGCACACATCTTGGGCTTCTGTGGGTTCGAACTTTGGGCTCTTTTGAGTTGTGTCATCCTTGTCTTACCTCTTAAAAACACAACTTGGGTAACATGGGCTATATGTCTAAAAGGTTAACTTCCCCAATCCTTGGAGTTTTAAGGGGTAAGTTGTTTGTCACACGGATCGTGGATTGACCTTCCTGCGGGTTGGCGGTTCAACTCGGGCTTCAGCGGTCCCAAATCGGATTTGCGTTGTGCCCGAGTCCTAGGCTTAAAGTGAAAGCTGGTTGGGGTTGGTCGTATCTTGTTTTCGGTGGTGTCCCTGACCATCACATGTTCGGACCTTTTGATCAGCATGTCAGGGTTGTTGTTGGGAAACATGAAAGCACAATTTTGCTTAGTGTGGTTTAGTTGGAAGTTCCCACTTAGCTGCCAAAAGTTAAATGTTTGCTCCCCTTCCAACGTCAACCAAGATCCAGGGATGCCAAGTAGAAACTGGAAGAGCATCTAGAATTTGTGCTCTGGAGCTTGAAAGTTGCCGGAACGATATGTGTCAAAACAGACCCCCCGACAAAGCCTGTGGATTTCCCTTTGCACAAACTTGAAAGAAGGGTATCCGCAAACAACACACGCACAGAAATTGTTCCGAAGGGAAGGCAAGATTCTGTGTTTGTTTGTTTTTGTGTGTGCGTGTGTATGTGTGTGTGTGTGTGCCTGTGTGTGTGTGTGGGTGTGCGAAAGGTGTCTCGGATTTTCACACACTTCCCCCCCACTTCCTTCTTCGGACAGCAGGAGAGTAGCAACTAGTCGCATGCTAGCATTCACCGTTACTTGGGTATGGGTCAAAATTGAACCACCAGGATATGGACCGCAGGTTTTAGTCCATGCTTCCATTTACCAGGGCAACCCATTCTGGGGTTACCCACTTTTTGACAACCACCATTACTCTAGTTGAACTGCCCTCCCATTTTTCCAGGTCTTCAGTGGCACCGTTGTTCCAAGCGCAGCACTGGATTTGCTCGGGGCATCGCCCAAATTTGACCGAACACCTCGATTTGCATTCGTACCAGCCTGAACTTGGGCTACATTAAAAACGGGTTCCTGGACCAGAATTCCCTTAGAACATGGGTTTTAGCTCCAAATTATGAGGTGAATTCCCTTTTTATAGGTAGTTTCAGGGTCCGGGTAGAAATGTGGACTCCAGGGGTGCTTGTACATACCCCTTTTACATACGCCTTGGGCAAATGAACCCCAAAGGCCTGCTGTTCATACCCCTCTCCACAGAAGCGCGGTGTATACCCCGCGAGAAAAGGCGAGTTGGAAACCAGAGAACGACAAGGGGGATGTACTTCCATCCTTTGAAAAAGAAGAGTCAGCAAGTGTTTTTTCCCCCCCGAGGCATGTTCTGGATGCATCGGGTTTCTGCAATCCCGAGGCATCACGGGGGTGCGGCCGACATCAGGGCCGCCCTTGCAGCTGCGCTTCTGCTGAACTGGCCGAACCCAACGAATGAAGGGATCTAGAGGAATCGTTGGATGGTGTGTCGCTGCATTACTGAAACAATTGGCGATTTACTAAATGGAGATCGGGTTTTTATGTTGTTGTTTTTGTGGAGACAACTCTCAAAATGGGCGATTTGCTGAAACCAACAAGTGCACCAACACCAACCCTGCCTTGGCGCTCAACAGGGCTTCAAAGTTGGCCACAAAAGGCCAGGGTACCGACTCCTGCAAAACAGTCCAGGGAGGAGTCCAACTTCCATGGTTTGTACATCAACATGGCCGCACAAGACATGGCCTCACCCAGAGGGCAACTGGACCGGATGTACACTGTTGCAGTTTGGCGCGGTGATTTGCGAGCGGCCGCTTTTGAACCAGGTTGGAGCCAGTCGCGCTGAATGTGCCGTTGCAGGACTCTGGCGTGGGGAAATTGCACTGGGTGGATTCCTTTTTGCCATCGTGGCCATGAAGGAGATACCTACTTGGTGCTTGTCGAGCCCTGGCAACCCAAAGAAATGCCAGATGTCCACAGCCAGATGGGAAATTGGGCGTGCCACTTTGCAAGGGAATCCGTACTTAAAATCACAACGTTCTAACGTGGGAAATCCCACGGTATCACAGAAAGAGACTGCCGATTGGTTTGGGACATGTGGCCTGAGTCTCTTTATCAACGTGTTGTTGTGGTTGGGGATTGTTCTTGGCGAGCCTTGTTGGAGTTGCTTTGTTTGAAGAAACATCTAAATATAAGCAAATAAATTTTGAGGGTCGCAGCAGCTGAACCTTTGATATTGGGCCAAGTGCAGAAGCGCGTGAGTTGGTATCAGAATTTAGCATCCGAATTCCGCTTTCCGAAGTGTTCGTTTAAGATTGCAGGGGCGGTGACCAAACATCAATCATATCCACCAGATTCTCTGGGAACTGGCTTTTCCGCAAGTGCCCCAAACCATTTCCGCAAGCCTTGCCCTGGATGGCGCAATGTGATTGACTCCACCGTTATTGTCACTCGGACCAGCATGGACCTGAGGCATGTTGCTGGTCTGCGTGCTGGCTTGCTTGCTTGGATTCGCTTTGCCTTGCTTGTTTGTTTGTCTGGTTTGGCTTGGTGTCGTTTGGTTTGGTGTGTGATTGTGCGTCGTTTATGTGTTTGTGTGTTTGTTTGGTTGGTTGGTTGGTTGTTTGTTTGTTTGGTTGTTTGTTTGTTTGGTTGAGTTCTTTATTTATTTTGTTATGTATTTATTTATTTCTTCATTTGTGTTATTTAGTTCTTTCTTTCTTTCTTTCTTTCTTTCTTTCTGTCTTTCTTTATTTCTTTCTTTCTTTCTTTCTTTCTTTCTTTCTTTCGTTATTTATTTCTTTCTTTATGTCATTCTTTCTTCATTTATATATTTATTTCGTATTTATGTATTTATTTATTTATGTATTTATTTATGTATTTCTATCTTTATTTGTTTTTTTTTCTGTTTTATTTGTTTATTTCTTTCTTTCTTCATTTATATATTTATTTCGTATTTATGTATTTATTTATTTATGTATTTATTTATGTATTTCTATCTTTTTTTGTTTTTTTTTCTGTTTTATTTGTTTATTTCTTCCTTTTTCTGTCCTTCTTTCTTTCTTTCTTTCTTTCTGTCTTTCTTTATTTCTTTCTTTCTTTCTTTCTTTCTTTTTGTTTGTTTCTTTGTTTCTTTGTTTGTTTATTTTTTCTTTGTTTCTTTGTTTGTTTGTTCGTTTGTTCGTATGTCTGCTTGCTTGCTTGCTTGCTTGCTTGCTTGCTTGCTTGCTTGCTTGCTTGCTTGCTTGCTTGCTTGCTTGCTTGCTTGCTTGCTTGCTTGCTTGCTTGCTTGCTTGCTTGCTTGCTTGCTTGCTTGCTTGCTTGCTTGCTTGCTTGCTTGCTTGCTTGCTTGCTTGCTTGCTTGCTTGCTTGCTTGCTTGCTTGCTTGCTTGCTTGCTTGCTTGCTTGCTTGCTTGCTTGCTTGCTTGCTTGCTTGTGTGTTTGCTTTGCTTGTGCGATTATTTTGCCTTGGTTTGCCTTGGTTTGGCTGGGTTTGGTTTGCTTGTTTGCGTGTGAGTGTGTGATGTGTATGTTGTGTTTGTTTGTTTGTTTGTTTGGTTGGTTCGGTTTGGTGTTGGTTGGTTCGGTTTGGTGTTGGTTGGTTCGGTTTGGTGTTGGTTGGTTCGGTTTTGTTGGTTTGTCGTGTTTGCGTATTTGTTTGCTTGTTTGTTTCTTTCTTAGCATTTGTTTTGTTCATTTGTTTTGTTTTGTCATATGTTTTGTTTTGTTTACTTGTTTGTTTCATTGTTTGTTTGTTCCTTTGGGGATTGTTTGTTTGCGCATGTGTCCACCCGTTGTTTGTTGTTCGCTTCAGGTGACAATGAGGCCTTCTCACAGCTGCATTGATGACTTCATGAGTTTTGCATCAGTTCCTAATCAATCCGTTAGGTCAAGGTTTGGCGATGGGTACCATCTTTCATTCTGGGCAAACGTGAGGGAGTGACTAGTACAGCAATTTCCCACCCCCCGCCCCCCCAGAAGAAGCTAGTCGCAAAATTGGCGGTTAGAGTTCGGCCTACTCAACTAGTCTCTCAGCAAGTACTGCTTGGTACTGGCTTAGAATTGCTTTCGTACCGCTTTCGTGTTGCTTTGTGCTCGTCCAGTACTGCTTCGTAATGGTTTAGAATCGTTGTTGTATTGCTTTAGTATGTCTTTCTGCGATTTGTTTTTGGCGTCAAACAGTAGTTGCTCTTTTCGGGATGGGGAATCAAGTTGGAAAACCTTCTCTGAATTGCCGCCACATTTACTAATCGCCACCCGACGTGAACATCATTGATTTTAGCCCTGAGTTTAGGGTTGCAGAATGATTCTATCGCCCATTTGCAATTTAACCCATGGCCAAGCCAAGGCCATTCTTTGCCCTGACCCAAGACCAGGTCTTGGGTCAAGCCACTTTGTACCAGCTAGGTCTCCCAGTAGTGCCCTTTTACCCGTTTATTTTTCTGGGAGGGTTCCCCTACTAAAATAGACTACAGAAAAAAAATCGGGTACCAACTTCTTCTATCCTTTCTGCTGGAGGACCTAGCCACTTATACCCGCACTGACACGGCGCTGTCGGGGTCTCCTCAGCCGCTTTTGGAGCGTACAGGAGTGGCTGAAGCGGTTGGAGCAGCAGGTGGCAACCACCTTCCAGCAGCTGCTGCGCCAGGAGTGATGCGTTTCTGGGGTAGACTTAGGATACATTTTACCATTTCGCCAGTGACTCCATGTGAAGCAAACAATAAAATATACATTCTATAGCTGGTTGCCTAAGTCCAATCATGTTTTTATGCCACATGTGTGTCAGCTTCCCCCTCGGTGCTTTGAGCCCACGGGAGCTACCTTCTTTTGGGTTTCAAAAGGGTCTGAGGTTCAAATCGCAAACCACCTTTTTCAGAACAAGCTGAGTGTGTGAAGTTCGCTGGCGATTCATGTCCACCAAGCACTTTGGAGGTGACTGGCCTGGCACAAGAATAATAACCTTGCCAAACGGAGGTTTCCTGTTGGCCTGGGGGAACTAAAAGGGAAACGGTTGTGAGGGGGTGCTGGATAGAGTTCGGTTTTCTTCTTTGAACACCCCAATGTGTCCTGAACTTGAAACTTGAAAACAATCCCAAAAGGGTACCGAGCCACAAAAAGACCGCCACACTTCCGAACATTCGGATCGTCAAAGAGCTTTGAGCTGAGAGCGACCAGGGGAAACAGCCGAGAACCGCGTGTGGAGCTCCTGTAAAATTGCTTCAGGTGTTTGAACTCCCAGAATTTGTTGGGTGGTTTTCAAGACCCGCTGTCCCGGACCTCTGTATGGGCGGTGTCTTGCGGGTTGACATTTTGCATTTCACAAACCAATGTCTTCCATTTGCTTAAGAATATCTTCTGTTTTGCCTTGTTGGTTTTGAAGGGGTCGTATCAGTACTGGAAATATGAGCATTGTTTGTAGGGGGCGAGAAAGCAAATGGAATTGATGGCTCTGATTTGACTGGGTGGGGGGATATAAATACGTGGTGGTCAATGGCTCTGCTTCGAGTTCTTGTTGCAGAATGAGTCCGATTTCCATCAATGGAGAATACTTTCGACAACTCATGCGCGTCGTGAGGTTGTTGAGTGTGGGTGTGCAGCATTTGGATTTTTGTTTTTGGATGTGACCACCCAACATGATGGTGTTCCTTTTGGTTCAAACTTAAAAAAAAAAAAAAAAAAAACATACCCAGTTGTTTCTCCCAAATTCCGAAAAGCTCAAAGCGGGGATTTGCGTTACGAGACATCCTTTGCCAAAATCATCCGAAGGGCGTCCCAGACAACTTTCGGAGCCAGAGTGCCAAGCCATTCCGGGTCGTGAGGCCATTCAATTGAGTCATTCGCATGCCTCATATGGGCGCGGGTCAAAATGAAGCCACCAGGATATGGACCGCAGGTTTCAGTCTTTGGTTTTAATGTACCAGGGTTCCATGTTGGGTACCTATTTTTGACCCACAGCCACATGCCTCAGTTCTTCAGTGGCACCAGTTGTCTTTTTCCTCTTTTTTTTGGTGGCCCCACGAAGAATCCGGTCCAAGCCCCAAAAAGGGTTCCCTTTGCCTTCCGGGGTCACTGAACAACTGAGTATGTCTCAGCATATTTTGAATTGTAACAACTGAAATAGCCTGGTTGAACCAGATTCCGGATGACTCGAACCAACATGATTCTCCAATGATTGTGACTCAAGGTGATTGTACCCCGCACATTGTAGATCAGTTCTCTAGTGTCAGTATAGGTTTCCTTGTCGCTTCCCCTTTTTTATGAACAAAGGCAAGTTGTTTTTCCGTTTGAAGGGCGTAATGGCTGGCCAAGGTCTACTGATCCTGGGTCTCCAGAAACCATCTCTTTGCTCGCGCTCCGATAGGAGGCTAGTGGAAAGCACGAGAGGCAGGGGACCTGGGCAACGGACCCAGAAGCCGAGTGCTTCGCTTAGAGCCATCAGCAAGCCCAGTGTTTGTGTTATGGGTGTGTTGGTTGGTTGGTTGGTTGGTTGGTTGGTTGGTTGGTTGGTTGGTTGGTTGGTTGGTTGGTTGGTTGGTTGGTTGGTTGGTTGGTTGGTTGGTTGGTTGGTTGGTTGGTTGGTTGGTTGGTTGGTTGGTTGGTTGGTTGGTTGGTTGGTTGGTTGGTTGGTTGGTTGGTTGGTTGGTTGGTTGGTTGGTTGGTTGGTTGGTTGGTTGGTTGGGTTGGTTGGTTGGTTGGTTGGTTGGTGGTTGGGTGGTGGGTGGGTGGGTGGGTGGGTGGGTGGGTGGGTGGGTGGGTGGGTGGGTGGGTGGGTGGGTGGGTGGGTGGGTGGTTGGGGGGGCGGGCGGGCGGGCGGGTGGGTGGGTGGGTGGGTGGGTTGACAATTCTATTGAGTGATCCCCCATTCTCCAACAACAATCGTATACCATGGATCACACCGTTCTCCATAAACATAATTGCTTTGGGACAATCCACATTGAACTCAACCTCACTATAGTTTTGGCTTATGGCGTGCAGTTTCAGGAGCTGAGCTGATTCTCATGGATCTACATATGCACTTCCTGACTTCACAACACCGCGGGCCAGAGGTCTCCTCGCCGTGCGTGCACCAGCATTCTCCGTGCATACGGCCATGCGGGCGTGCTGCGGCCACTGGCCAACACATACCACTGTGCTCCGCGCATGCGCGTAGCGGACGCGTTCCCCACGTCCAGCCGTTCCACGAACGTTCGCCCTTCGCCGGCTCCTGTTTGTTCCGCGCGTCCGAAAAGAAGTAAAACGCGTAGTATATGTTAATAGTAGGAGAACGGGTCGGGTGGCGCTTTTGATGCAAAGGCGCGGCACTTTGGCGAGTCAGGCATACCCCCGTTTTTGAAGCACTTTTCGTTCAAACATAAAAACAAAAAGTTCGCGGAAGTCCTGGCGCCCCGCGCAACCACCGCGTTCCGCGCATGCCACCGTGTTCCACGTATAGCACCGTGCTCCGCAGCTTAGCGTGCATCAGGGCGTGCCCACGTAGCTGGGCAAGAATGAAACTACTTGCGCACGCTCGTGCCTGTGCAAGCGTGTGCACACGTGTCGCGTGCCCACAAACACATGTACGCACTTCCTGTGCTTGGCGGGGTGACGGGTGGGGGACCTTTGGAGATTTGCTGAGGGGAGCCCGTTAAAATGGAATTCTTGCTCAAGCTTCACGAACTCGAGAAAGCATCCAAATATGCACGAAGAAGGGTTAGCTTGGGCGATAGGGCAGGGTGTCATTAGAACAACACAGAACAGAGCAGGATATGACAAGGTACGAGTAAAAAGTCCGGCAGAGCCGGGAGAGGGGAAGTGCAAAGTATAGAAATATGCGAGCTTCTTTTCCCCGCTCTCTCTCTCTCTCTGTTTCTCTCTCTCTATTAGCTTAGACTTTCTCGTGTTTGAAGTTTGTTGAGGTCGACCCAGCGAAGTGAAAATCGCAAACAACCGCAAGTTGTTTGACCAGGCCCCCCAGTAGTGCCCTCTTGCCATTTTGGAGGGAGGGTTCCCCTACTGAAATAGACCACAGAAAAAAGGGTACCCTTATTCTAACCTCTCTACTGGAGGACCTAGTTGAGGGTCGACCTGCCCAAAGTCCGCAGAGGCTTCGCCGAAGGGCCGAAGTCACGCACGGGGCCACGTGTTCGGCTCACGTCTACTCTTGGGATTTAGGTGTTTTATCTTTTTTGTAGCTTTTTCACGCAATGCATCTGGATGCACTTTCAGGGAGAGCCAGCTTACTTAGTTTCAACGCTACGGATGGTTTTTCTAATTCCACTTCGATACTTCAATGTTCCTGGGCTTTGTGTTGTATTCCAACATTCCAAACCATGCTGTCAAATGCCACGGACCATTGGCTCTCCTCTAGCACGGTTTGCCAGGCTTCTTTGTACATGATGCTATCCATCAGATGTGTAGCCGTGGGGATCCTTTCGCAGCCTTGGATTTCCTCAACTTCCATTGGTCGTGGGCTAGAATCGACGTCGACCAAAACTGGTGGCCTGGTTCTACGGGGGAAGTGGGCGGTGCGGGTGGGTAGCACGAGAAGTTTGAGGGGAATGGAAGTGACATGATGCGCCATTGCCTGCCAGGGACGAACTGCAGACGCAGCTCTGGCGGCATATGGGCAAAGGTCCCACTGGTGGCCCAGAACGGGCTTGTGTGGCTGAGATTGAAGTGTTCGAATTATGCAAAACATATTTATGTGGACCCTTATCTACCCGGACTGATCGCTTCCATGCGTGTACATGTGTGTGTGTGTGTGTGTGTTGTTCTCTCCGTTGCCCAAGGCAGTGATTGGGTCGGAGTCTGTGGATGTACCGTGGGGATTGCTGGAGCCATCCCCTCCGCAAAAAGCGAGAAGCCCCAAATCCTAAATGGGTTGCCTCCAAATTACATGGGGAGATGTGCCATGGTCAAAAGACCCGTTCCTTTACTTGGGGTTGACGTATGGATGGTCCACCTGGTCATCCTTAATGACCAATGACTCGGGAATACGTATGGATGGTCATCCACCTGGGATGGATCCTTAACAACCACTTACAAAGAGAGTGACCCAACCGGCCATGTGTTCGGAGTTTTGGAGCTATGGCTCATATGAAACCGCCGCGGAGAAATTCCTGCCCCAGGAATCTTCCGGAGCATGTGGCAGTGACTGCCCAGCGAATCCGATGGACCTACCTGGTGGAAGCAATGAGACTTGGCAGCAGCCTTGTCTTCAAAGGGTCAAAGATGAGACAGTTTCCCTTGAACTAGCTACTGCTGGGTATGTTTTCCAAGTGTTTCCTTTGTTTTTTTTGGCTTTTATTCAACTTGTCTAGTCATAGGTGTTGCTAGTTTCCTTTGTTGCGTTTTGCTTGGATGTTAGGACTTTAACTTTTGCCAACTCTTAGCATGTCTAGGGGCGCGGCACTACTGGAAGGCATGTCTAGTGTGAGGAATCGCGTTTCCAGTTTCTGGACGTTTGGCCATTCCACGTCTCTTTGTTGAGTTGGTACCCTGTTTTGGGGGTGGCTTTGAGTCACTTTGTGGGGGGGAACCCCTAAAGAAAACGGGCACACCCAGATTCGGCTTTTCCATTGAGCCCGCAGAAATGCGGTCGACCTGCTCAAAAGCGGGTGGCTTTGAGCCGCCGGTGGCGTGGGCGGCATCGTATGCGCAGGTCATCCCGACCAGAAGCCATGGACATCTTCACAGCCTATGCGGAGAAGCGCGTGAAGGAGGAGGTCGGGTCTCCTTCGCATCGAGCGCGTTCGCATCGCTGCCTCGCTGCCCGGGTGTTTTGGATACCTTCTAGCATGGGTGTGTGTGTGTGTGTGCTTTTTGAGGGTATCCTGTTCACCTGGTTGGCTTAAAGATTTTGAAGGGGGAACCAGCAGGAAAACCACAATTCTGAGGGGTCAGCGCCGATGTGAGTGGCTGAGAGGCGGCTCAATTATGACACATGCTGCTCCTGCACTCATGTCTAAATGGCTGTGGGTCAAAACCAATGGTACCATTTTGGGGTACGTGCACCACCCATTTTAGTCTATTTTGGTGGGGGTTGGGATGTTCACTAAAAATACGGGATTTTCACTTGTGGCCAAATGTGGATGTACAGTATCCCAAGGCCCAGTTCCAGTTATTCCAGTTATTTGGCCTGAGAGAAGCTGTGCTCGGCTCCGGAAAAAAAAAGACAAAGTGAACATGACACCCCTGAATCACGGGTCCCTACATTTCCCATTTTGGCGGCTTTGAACATCACCTTTTGGCCCATGAAAGGTGAGTATCCCTTGGGGGTGATGATGTCTTAAGGGGAAATATGGGGAGCCCTGTGAATTGCGATTCACCACCAGTTCTTCGCTTCTGGATGTAAATGCGTTTCCCAACAATGTTCGGGGCCTTTCCTTTTGGCCGCGTTTTTGCGAGACTAAACCGGTCACTTGAAGAATTCCCTTTGTGGGGAAGGCCAAGGAAGACAAGGGAGTCCATTCCTCGAGGTTTCTGAGGCGTTGTTTTTTTGTCGTTCCAGCCATTAGGAGTGTATAGCGAGGCGGGGTACTTTAAGAGAACAAGCTTTGGTATACCCAGTGACATGTTTCCCTCAAAAAAGGTAGGTAACCAAGGGAGCCCTTCAAAAACACAATCGGAAGATTGCGGGTTTGCTATAGTGCACGTAGTAATGTTGGACTCTCTATAATGTTACCCCCCCCCTGAACAGTGGAACCAGTCGGCGGGACTCTCTTTAGTGAAATCCTGGGGGTCTGGGAGGGGCAGTACTTACTATAGTATTGCCAATTCTACTTTAGTATTGCCAAAGCTCCCTCTCAGATTTCCAGTGCTTTCTCTAGTATTGCCAATTCTACTTTAGTATTGCCAACACTGACTCTCAGATCCCCAGTACTTACTTTAGCATTGCCAATCTACTTTAGTATTGCGAAGGATCGTTTTTTCAGCAACCCCCAAAACCAGTTGGACACTAAAGAGGACCCCAAAACAGTCGCATTAAAGAGGATTTGGGCCTATTGTGGGCACCCCCCTTTGTGTGACTGTTTGCCCGCACTTTTGTGTAAAGAAGTTATCTTAAATTTGATGGTTTGGGAACAACTTGCAAAATCGATTTCCTAGATCTCAGGCCTTTAACCTTTGAGCTGGGGAGAGCTTAGGATGAGTTCCCTTCTTTAAAAAGAAAGGCCGAGGCTTTGGTTTTCAGTTTTCGGCAACCCTGAAAACAGGTGGACACTAAAGAGGACCCCCAAAACAGTCGCATTAAAAAGGATCTGGGCCTTTTGTGGGCACCCCCCTTTGTGCGACTGTTTGCACTTTTGTGTAAAGAAGTTATCTTAAATTTGATGGTTTGGGGACCACTTCAAGAAAAGGATTTCCCAATGTTTGCCAGGATTTGTTTGCCCGCTTTTTTGCCCGACTTGTTTGCCAAGTTTGTTTGCCCATATTTTCCCAGCGTTGTGTCCGGCAACACAACTTTCCACATTAGAGGACCCAAACAGTCAAACGATTCTGAATCAGAAAAAATCCACAATAGAGAGTACTATTCATAAAGGAGGCCCAGCATTAACTGGGATTCCCTCACAGAACAAACCAAAAGTCAACGGGCAAAAAGGCGTTGAGGCTGATGATTTGGGCCGAGCTCGAGGCGCACTAGGGCTTCCAACTGGGATGGTCGACTCTTTGAGAGCATCTTTAAACATTCTTCAGAAACAATCCAGTCAGAAAGGCATGAAGGAGTGGTGATTCTCCAAATATTTTTCCAAGAAGGTGCTATTTGACTATCCTCAAACCATGTCACCAGCTTGTCACCAGCTCTCTCTCTCCGCCCACACGCTCGCTCGCTCGGCTCCATGGCGCGTGCGCGCAGGTGGCGCGCAACACGGGGGCGGCTTCCAGCAAGGAGACCTTTGCAGGCCCTCAGCGAAAAAGAGCTTGGGGGGGACCGGTCCGGCGGTCCTGTGGTGTGTTTTGCTTGGTGCAGGGCTTGGTTTAGGAAAGGCGAATTTCTGGGCCCCGGGGACTGCTTGGGACCTGAGGATCCTGTGGTTTTTTGGGGTAGGGCTGGTTTAAGATGGGACCTTTAAGGCGACTTTCTGGCCCTGGGACTTTTCGGGCAGAAGAAAATCCCCTCCCTACCTGGCACCTGGTGCTTTGGCTTAGTGAGGTCCCAGAATTCACTTTGCCGATTGCCGGCAGGCTGGCTGATAGGTTTCTCTCCTTTTCCCCAGGAAAGTTGCGCAAGTGCATCCGCGGGGATGGAATTGTATATCAGTTTGGCCTTAATGTCCTACAGCCACTAGTCCGCCTCGATTGTCTTAACAACCTTTGGGGGGATCCTGATTTCGACCACACGCTTTGTGTCGTCTGAAGCCAGTTTTGTATGACTGAACTTTTTTCCGGCTGGCTGGTTCTTGTGAGGCCTTGACTGGCAACCAACTGACTTCAAATCAACTTCGCTGAGCTCAACTTGGCTTGCTGGTTCCTCGCAGCCCAATACACGGTTGTTGGGAAACAGTTTACATTTTTGCTTATTGTGGTTTAGTGGTTGAACTCCCCACTCAACTGCTAAAGTTTTTTTTTGCTCCCCTTCCAACGTCAACCAAGAATACGGCAGCCTTTGACTCATGATCATGTTCCATTGCTTGGGTTCCAGGGAGGTCCGCCTAGTCTGTGGTTAGTCATCCTGTGGCCATTCGACTCAAATAATAGAAATGGTCTGACAGCCATGTTTTGCCTCGCAAAAGGTTGGGTTGATCCCCCTAATTGGTGGTTTGGATTGGTGCTTTGGGGTTTGAAACCCTGGTTCTTGAGAGCGTAAATGGGAAACCGCCCGTTTCGGGCTCCAAACCAGCCATTTCGAGGGAAGCTGATAGCTTCCTTTCTTGAAATTGACTGAGATTCCACTATTCATGCTGCCACTTCGCCTTTGTGCCAAATTAGCATTGACCCTAAGGGAATCCATTTCCAAGAAGATTCCCCAACAGATGTTGTGTTCTTTTTTGTTGCGGCTTCCCTCCAGTTCAACGTTTCACAATGGTGAGACTCTCAAGGAAAATAAATCAATCTGCCACACCAGCACGTAAAGAACTAAACTGATGTACTTTGTACTTTGCCCTCCCTCTAAAGGAGTAAATAGAACTGACACACCAGTACTCTAAACCGATGCAAAGAGCTAAACTGATGTATAGAGCTCCAAATCTGAGGCGCCCTCTTTTTTTTCGGCTTCCTCTGTTTGTTGGCTTTTCTTTCGCCTCGCTAGGTGCCGGGCTCACCTGGGCGCTGGAGCTGCGAGCACTGCTGCAGCGCTCCAAGGAGGTCCGCGACGCTTCGAGGACGTTTTGTTTCCCCTGACCGTTTCGATTGGACACAGGTATTCTGGAGGTTGTTTCTTTTTCCATTCTTTTCAACCATCGTTCTTTCCAAAACCGGCCGTTTTGCCTGGGTTTCGGGAGGTTCGCTAGAACGAAGGATTCCTGGAAAGAATGGGGAAGGTACCCCTAGAGGTATAAATTCAGGCACCCCTGAACGCTGCCCGACCGGTATTAAGATTGTCTTCTCTTCTTTTCAACAATCAAACCCCAAAACCTGAATTCCAGTCGCATAGACGCAGCTATAATTCAGGTAACCCTGAATTGGTCCTTGAGCATTTTTCTGGATTTGTACCTGTTGCCTCATAGGGGTAACCCTGAAGTGGTGTTTTGGAGCCAAGTGGTTTCGTGGTGGAACGGGGATGTCCTTTTTGTCGAAGCCTCACAAGCAATCCAAAGTACGAACCAAAGGATACTTGATCAATGGGGTATTCCTGAGATTCAAAAAAGCGCCAGGACCAGGAAAAAAACAACGGTTGTGGTGAGAGAAGCATAGTTTACCTAAAGGTTTAATCTTCAGACTTCATCTTTTTGGTTGGAATCAAGCGGGTTTTCCGTCTTGAACCCAAGTTGATTTGTTTTTGTTTGCTTTTGGGAGAGGGGTCTCGCCTGGGCGCTTGGAGTAGGAAGCGCAGTGCCAAAGCTGCCTGGACCCACAGCCACCGAGACGCCGAAATTGCAACGATCGATAGCGCAGGGTTGATATCTCGAAGGCTAACAAAAACGCAATCTCCTATTCCTCATCCAAAACGGCTATTAGAGGGATCTAACCATTGTTTGTCTAAGGAATTGTCATCTAAATTGAGTCCCAAGGTCATTCTTTTGGGGCAAGGAACCCTAGAACTGATCTGCTTTTTGTGGAGGGAACTCTACTTGGATTGCTTCAGGGAAACTAAGCTACTGGTTGGAGGGTTCTCCTACGAAGACAAACCCGTATGGGGGCGCATTTTACAGGCTCAACTTCTGTTTTGGGAATCCAGTGCTGTTGGTGTTTTCCGCAACTTCCTTTGAGGCAGGTTTCTTCGTTCCCGAGAAAAAAGGCCAAGAACAACTTTTGGACGGGTTTGAACGTGTCCTTTTCAGGGTTCCCCTTGGGTTGAAACCTGCCTTCTTGGGTCTTTGGGTGCTGGGCGTCTCCTTTTGCATCAACATCGCCTCGGGCAAGACTAAGTGAGCTTCCTTTGGGCGGTGTGATGTTTCAACTCAGTTGTTCAGTGGCACCCTTTCCCTTTTTTTGGTGGTCGCCCCACTAAAAATGGTCTTCCCCAAAAAGGGTTCCCGTTTTTTTTCTTCTCCAGGGTCACTGAAGCACTGAGTCAAGGAATGTAGGGCACCCGGGTTTTGCTTGAAGACCATGACCCCGAGTCTCATAAACGCGTGGGAGCCCATTTTACAGTGGATCCCTGAAGCATAGAGGCCGAGTCTCGGCAGGCAGACGCGGCCGAGTTGAAGCAATCATGTTGGTAACAAACGGTTTACCGCAAGGGCAACTATCTTGGTGGCTCCCAGCCATCCGGTTCCTTAGCGTTTCAGCCATTGAGTGTTTGGTGGTAGTTTCCATTTGATCCACTAAAAGTTTTCAACTTTTCGCGGGGGATCTGAGGCCAGCCCAGTGATGCAAGACCCATGCGATGGTGCAAGGAGAACTGCGCAAGCAGAAACTCGATCCACGCCTTTTAGGGTCCCTTCATATATACCCTGCCATCACACGAGCGGTTTATGTGCCACGACCAATTGGGTACACCCAAATTCAATATTTTGTCGACTAACACTGGAACCCACCAAGCGTTTCCCTTTTAAAGACAAGTTGTCTTCCATGACCCCCTGTGAGGTTCCAGGTTGACAGGAGGCCGCTGGTTTTCAAGGGAATCGAGTGCACTACTGGACATGTTTTTTCATTTTTGTCCAAGGGGCTACAAAAAACATGGAAGGGTAGCGCCAGGAAATGGCGGCAACCACCAAAACCCCCATGTACGTGGGTCAACATGAGGGTATCGGCCCCTGTTGATATCCCACTGCACAAGGCGGCACCATCCAAACAGGTGCGTCTTTTTTGTATGACATCTCCCCTAACATCCAGTTGTATCCTACCTGACCATGGCCAACTTTTCCCTATGCGGATGAAAATCTGGCTGTGGGTCAAAACCCTGTTCCCCTGGTGAACATCACAGGTGGTACATGGGTGTTCATCCGCCCCAAAATGGAGGCATCCATGGCAATCTCATCCTTTTTCGTTGTCTAGGTCCCCCAGTACTGCCCTTTTACCCTTTTTTGGGGAGGGTTCCCCTGTAAACTAGACTACAGAAAAAAGCTGGTACCCAAAAATATCTAACCTCTCAAATCTGGAGGACCTAGTGGCCCAAACAAATAATAATAATAATAATAATAATAATAATAATAATAATAATAATAATAATAATAATAATAATAATTATATATATATATATATATTTCTTAAAGGCACCCACCCCTGACTAGTACTTCCCAGAATGGGGGTATCTTCATCGGACGGATCAACACCCTGTGGCCCGGGCGCCGGGCGCCAGGCCTCGGACCTGGTCTTTCTCCGGATGGCCTGGCGCGGCGAGGCTCTCGCAGTGCAGCGGGGTGGCCCGGGCGGAGACCTGGGGGCTGCTGGGGAGTTGGCGGGGAAAACGTGCGACGAAAAAGTGGGTCGTCGAGTAGGTTTGTCACCATGGATACATAGGGGAGTCGTCCAAAGCACATAAATATGTATATATATATATGTACATATATATATATATATATATGTATTTTTTGGACCCTGGGGCCATCCCTGAAAGGAGAGACCACAACGGGCCCTATTTTGACCATGTATAATATAACTGGGGCCAAAACGGGTTCGCTTGGGGTGGGCCACTGATTGCCATAATCAAGCATTTGAATCCTTTCTTGATGATACCCTCCCTCTAAGCCAGGAAGATGTTGGACACTTTCCTTTTGCGGAAGCCAAATAATATTGGATCATAATAAAATAGCTTTTCTGTAAGGACAATTTGATTCTAGTATTTTTTTATTTTTTTTATCTTTGATGTCATGTTTATTTCTTTATCTTTTTCATATTCTTGTTTGATTATTTGGAAATGCTTTTATTGAGGTTACTGTTCTATCTTTCATGGCATCTTTTGGCATTTTATGTTTGTCTTTTTCTTTTTAATTTAAGATCTTATAATATTTCTATCATAGACAAATGACATGATAAAGATGACGTTGGGAGGGAGGTTTCTTTTTGCCTTGAAAGAGACAGACCCATTGGTTTTTCGCTTTTGGGTTTTGGGTTTTAAGAACCCCTCAAGATGGTTGTCCTTTTGGTTTCCCTAAGATACAAAGCAGGGGCCAATTTGTACCTGTTTCTTCCCTAGACCTGTCCCGATATTTTTTGGGCTAGCGGTGCAGGGAACTCTTTTGGCGAACTGGCTCACTGGAGTTGATTCTCAGCCTTCAGACTGAAACAAACTTGTCGCTGCCGGTTGTCTTCATACGGGGGGGGGCAGAAGACTTTGAGGTTTCCCTGAAGTTTCGGCTGCCCAATGTGCCAATATCATGGTCACATATTCCTCACGTCGTTCGTGTAGACTCACCGCAGGACGAATCTCAGAAGCAGCCAAGTTTCATGGATAGAACATAAATGGGTGTGGGTCAAAATCCAGATACCCGTTCTTGGGTAACCCCCCCTTCTGTTTGGTTCATCTTGAAAGGGAATCTCGGGGCTATAGGGATACCAGGGTTTTGACCCAGAGCCAAATGTTGGTCCCGGCCATGTCCGGGCCAAAGAACAATCCGATATGTTCTGGTTCCTTGGGGTTGACTGCCATGAGCAGCTGGTTTTTTGCCTTCGTCAAGTGCAAGCAGGAAAGACTCACAGGAACTCGATGGCTCTCGGAGAGACTTCCGGTGCAAAGAGTGGGGGTTTGCCGAGAAACCGCTCTCGCAGATAAGGCCCATGAATCAAAGTCACAGCCATTCGCCATGAATCGGTTTGCTTGGATCCTCAGCCTTTCACTTTTCGGGGAACAAGTCTGTCCCACTGACCAGCAAATAGTCCAGCTTTGAGGCAGCTAGGCAAGTCGTGGATCATGTAGATGACATTGGGGTCAAACCACTTCGCCATCAGAAAGCATGAATGCTCGCAGCGTGCCCCAAACCATTGATCAAACCGCATTGATCAAGCCACATTTTATCCCTCTTGGCGCACGCTGCAAATTCAGCGTCTCCTTCCCCATCCACTTTTTGTCGGCTTCGGATGGACCGCAGGGACGGTAGGTTCCCACGTCCTGCCCGGTGCGGCCCACCTTGTTTTTGTTTTTTGTTTTTTTGGGGGGGGAGTTCTTTTCTTCTTCTTTTTTTCCGTTGGGGTTAAATCTCGTTTTTCCGTTGGGGTTAAATCAGCTGCTGTTCAAGCGAATCGACTGGGCATCATCTGAAGAAGAGGAAGCCGTTGGCTCGTTTTGATTTGGCCCATGAGACTTGAGGGATGTGGAAAGCTCGCATGTCGAATCCGTTTCAGGCTGGGACCTCTTTGCCTGGAATTCGGGTGGGAGCTGTATGGAGGCTGGGGCTGGGCTTCTTGAACATGTACCCGCGGCCAGTTGTGTTTCTTCATCCTGAGGGTACTGCTGAATTCAATGGAAGCCCAAAGGGACATCACCATTTTTGGGGTCCCTGTATTTTGACAAGGTATACACATTTGCCCTGCGCTTTGGCCAAAAGAAAGGTTTCAACTTGTTTTGGAAGACTACAGCTTGCCCACTCAGCAGCAAAAGGCTTAGCTTTTTGCTGGGGTCAAGGAGCCACCCGTTGTGTGTGTGTGTGTGTCAAGTTCAAATCAACCCTCTTAACTGGTTGAAGCATGTTGCTTCATGTTAGGATTTTAACTTTTTGCCATTAAAACACCAAAAGTTAAGCTTTTAGCAGGGGAGCAGAAAGCAACCGAGAATTTGTGGTTCAATCAAAAAAAATGCAAATTTGATTTTTCGGCATTTAAACTGGACTGCCCCGCGGCGGAAGGTGGGATGCCGGGCAAAACAAAACGATGACCTGTCCGGAGAAACACTGGCGGGTTGGGGACAGGTTGCGTTTGATGTGGGGTTGATACAGCAATTGACCACTAGGGAAACCACCTAAAAAATATTGCTTTCACCATGGTCTTTGTAGGGCCAGGAATATTGATAAACCCCCATAATACTGTGGATGGACAAACTCCTGCACCACCTAAGACACCCTGTCCCATGGTTTCCACGTGCAGGATTTCGTCCATCCACAATAGCAAACAAATATGTTAGATTGGAAGCCATGAGTCACGAAAACCCTCGAAGCCACAGTTGAGAACTCGAGCGATTCCCTGTCGAAAATGCTTGAGGTCCCAATGCCTCGTGCTTGTAAGGGCGCCAAAAGGATCCGTTCCCAGCCGTTCACTGAGGCTTGACCAAGAAAAGCCCTAAGTAGCTGATCCAAGTGGTGATGTTCGATTTTTTTAACGTAGCTTTGCTTTTATTCGCGCTGGACATGGGGATGAGAGTGGGTTCCACCTATGCAACAGGTAGACTTCAGCCTAGAGGATGGCAACCGCTATCTGATTCTTGGGTCTCGCCGCCCCCCCCCCCCCAATAAATAAGCTTGTGTTAATTCAAAATTGGGGTCAGCCTTCGGCCTTCGACGCGAAGCGGGGCCCCCGCTTTTTTTGGGACCCAGGGCAAATCAACGTTTGCCAGCTTCCATTTGCTTAAGAATATTGCTTTATTTTCTCTGTTAGTTTTGAAGGGAATCAATTTTACTACTGGACATATCGTTTTGTTTTGTCTTTTTTTCCAGGGGCGATTTCAGCAAATGGCAGCCAGGAAAGAGGCTGGTGTTAAGCAATATGGCCATGGGTCAAAACCTATGCCTCCATGTTGAAGCGTATGAACATGATAAACAAACCTATGGCCAGTTCCAAAAAAAAATAGGACCCAGACCCAGGTTCCTTTGCCAGGAGTTCCAAAAAAAGAGGACCCAAGGGCTGGTTCCTTTGCCAGGAGAGGAGCTCATTTGCCCCGTGACTGAGAAGTGCTACGTGGACTTGGCGCAGCAGCTCTGCGACGTCTCGCTGCCGCAGCTGCAGGGCATGGGCTGCCCCTCGATTCGATTCGATGCGAAAGGTCGGTTGTGGTTGATCACTCGGGGTTTATCCAACCACTCACTGTGATACTTTTGGGAATCTCCCCCAAAAAGGTTGGGGGCGGTTTAGTCTTTGGGAAGCCCTTTCCGTTGTATCACAGTGGATTCCATTTCCAACCGCCCTTCGAATCTCAGTTCAGCGGCACCCTGGTTCCCCTTTCTTTTTGGTGGCTGCCCTAGAAATGGTCAAAAAGGGTTCCCTTTTTTCCAGGGTCACTGAACAACTGAGATTCTGTTCGATTCGAAAGGTCGGTCCCAGACTTTAAAAGACGATGCGTTTGAACCATTTCTTTTGTCAGACCCCACATGGAGAGCGGACTCGAAAACTTGCGGGTTCTCAGCAGGAAATGAGGGAATGAGCGCTGTCAACCATGCCCAATGCATTTCCCTTAAGGGAATCCCTAGGTTCCCAACGACCGGCAGGTCATTCCCTGAGCACCAGCAAGTTCCCCGAAAACCCGGATGCTACAAAACAAATAGGAGTTGTGCATGGGCTCGTGCAGATCATGCAAAAACAAACAGGGCCCCTTTACTTGAGGATTCCTCCAACTACTACCTTGACCCAGATAAGGATGACCAGGTCTGGCTCAACCTGTCCCGGCTGCTCGCAGCAAGGGTTCGCTCCTGCCGACAGGTTTGCTCCCGATACTCCTTGGCAGCATGATGAAACAAGCTTTCAGCAATGGAAGGATCCATTCTGTCACGGCCTGATTGTGCGCTCAACTTGAGGGTCGCTTAACTTGAGGGTCGCTTAACTTGAGCTATTGCCTTTGGCTTGCCATGATGTGTTTCTGTGTTTTTGGGCGGGGGGCCCGTTTGAAGTCAACAGACCAATGGCAAGTCGACTTGTTCATACTTGTGAGGTGAGAAGGAACGCCGCATTGTTAGATTTCTCTTTGTGTCCCAAACACCGAACGGCGCCTCTTTGGCCGCATGGATCGCTCCACGTCAGCTCTCTTGTGGGACTTGGCTTGAAAAAGCCCCAAGAAAACAAGCATTACCTTTTCTGAGATTGGTTTGTTGTGGACACTTGTCTTGTCGCGCGTGCTCTTTGAAACCGCTTCTCAGCCGAAAGACGAAGCTCTAGGGAAGCCTCCAAGCCCACCGTGCCTGTAGCCTCGGCCGGTAGCCTCGAGGTTGCCCAAGGAAAGGGATGGTGCTTGGGTTGCAATGCTCGGGTTGCAACATCTCAGTTGGCTGTGGCAACCAAAAGACCGGAAATTTCCAGGATGCCTTGCCCTGGGAATTGGAAAAACATGGACCAAAACCTGCGGATTGCCCGGCCCTCCGATCGTTTAATGTTGAGCCACACCCATTTTTCGACTGTGCGGGTACATAGGTGTCCTTTTTGACCGTTGTCTTGGTAGAAACATAGATGGGTTTCCCTGGTTTACCTGGTGGTTTCATCATCTACCCGGGCAACCCATCTATTTCCCCTAAAAGGACACCTATGGGTACAAGTAGCAACTGGAAAACCAGACCTCGCATGCACGGAAACCTCAGGCTCCGTGACGCGGGCCTTTGCTGCAAGCTGCGGCATTGCATGCCACCAGTGCCACGGCGCAACCCCTCCCGGGCAAGAGTTGCACAGGGATTCAGCTGGATGGTGGCTTCCACTGTGACCCCACTAACATAGCAACGGCGGGAAGGTGCGTGGAAGATCAGTTTTTTTCTTTTTGACCCGATTGTATGCCAGGTTCGGGTGAGGGAGGGTAGGATTCGGGATCTCCATTTGTCACGATCCAGACTGACTGCAACTCCGCCAGGGTCGATGTTTTCCTTTGGTGGTTTGTCCAAATGGTTGGCTTCTTTTGGTTTCTTTGTACCATCCAAACTTGGGTCCCTCATTTTTAGATTGGAAAGAAACACTCACCTGCAAGAACACAAACAAAAGGTTTGTGAAAAAGAAGATTCGAATCCAAAATGGCAGTTTTGAGGCTTGACAAATTAGATGCTATTTTGGGAAGAGGAAATTGACAAGCCAACAGAGTTCAGGCTGGTATTGTGGCCGTCTGTTATGAAAGCAACAGCCCGTATATCAATGAGTTTTGTTCACTTCGAGTGTTTCTGCGACGTTTCTTGCTTGTTCCTTGCCTGCTGGTAATTTTCTTAAACAGCTTCGCCTAACCGTGATGATGGGCTTTTTTGGGGACTCCCAACAAAAAGGACAGAGGAATTTGCAAGTTGCCTCACAAAAGGTTTTGGTTTGCAAGCATGGCACCCATGCTGAAGGCTCCTTTCGTAGAGTTGCCTAAGCGTCTCTTTGGTCAATCGAAAAGGGGCCCAGCATATTCCCACGCAAAGCCGGTTTCAGCTGAGAGTCCTGTTAATTTCCTGGAAAGCCGTATGGCCTTTTTTTGGACGGAACCCGTGTTGGTATGTGTTTTTTCTTTCTTTTTGTTGAGTCATTTTGGTTCTAGCCGGTGGCCGCATTTGACCGAACATGGCCCGTATCTTTTCAGAAACTTGTTGACAAGAAACCATAAGTGGCCGTATGGCCATTTCTTGCGGCCCACGGCCGTATGGACAGAACAAAACGTCACATATGGGTCGCCATACCCGGCGCAAGGGGAAAAAGAGGCGGGCGGCCAAGTTGGGGAGTCCGGAACCGGATTCCCCTAGAATCTTCGAATCCAACACCCTGCAAGCTGGTTTTGGCGCACTCCAATCAAACCTGGAAATGGTAAAACCTCCAAGCCAAACCAGCTGAGTAAAACCTTTTTTTTTTTTTTTTGACCCGCGCAATAAGGCGCCCTAATCAAACCTGGACTAAGCCAAACCTGGGTGAAACCTGAGGTCTCCACTAGTGGATTGGTCAGAAAGATGAGTGAACACTTGTTGTTCACCACAAAAAACCTGACCACTTACTAAGTACCTTGCCCCTTTCGGTAACCCTATAACCTGTTTTCCTGCTTTGGTAAAACCAGTTCTTTTGTTTGGTAAAACCAGTTTTTTGTTGGGTAAGACCAGTTCTTTTGTTTGGTAAAACCAGTTCTTTTGTTTGGTAAGACCAGTTCTTTTGTTTGGTAAAACCAGTTTTTGTTGGGTAAAACCAGTTCTTTTGTTTGGTAAAACCAGTTCTTTTGTTTGGTAAAACCAGTTTTTTGTTTGGTAAAACCAGTTCTGTTGTTTGGTAAAACCAGTTTTTTGTTGGATAAAACCAGTTCTTTTGTTTGGTAAAACCAGTTCTTTTGTTGGGTAAACCCAGTTTTTTGTTTGGTAAAACCAGTTCTTTTGTTTGGTAAAACCAGTTCTTTTGTTTGGTAAGACCAGTTCTTGTTTGGTAAAACCAGTTTTTCTTTGGTAAACAGGTAAAACCTGTTCTTTTGTTTGGTAAGACCAGTTCTTGTTTGGTAAAACCAGTTTTTCTTTGGTAAACAGGTAAAACCAGTTTTTTTGTTTGGTAAGACCAGTTCTTGTTTGGTAAAACCAGTTTTTCTTTGGTAAACAGGTAAAACCAGTTCTTTTGTTTGGTAAGACCAGTTCTTGCTTGGTAAAAGTTTTTCTTTGGTAAACAGGTAAAACCAGTTCTTTTGTTTGGTAAGACTTCTTGGGTAAAACCAGTTTTTCTTTGGTAGGTAAAACCAGTTCTTTTGTTTGGTAAGACCAGTTCTTGTTTGGTAAAACCAGTTTTTCTTTGGTAAACAGGTAAAACCAGTTCTTTTGTTTGGTAAGACCAGTTCTTGTTTGGTAAAACCAGTTTTTCTTTGGTAAACAGGTAAAACCAGTTCTTTTGTTTGGTAAGACCAGTTCTTGTTTGGTAAAACCAGTTTTTCTTTGGTAAACAGGTAAAACCAGTTCTTTTGTTTGGTAAGACCAGTTCTTGTTTGGTAAAACCAGTTTTTCTTTGGTAAACAGGTAAAACCAGTTCTTTTGTTTGGTAAGACCAGTTCTTGTTTGGTAAAACCAGTTTTTCTTTGGTAAAACAGGTAAACCAGGTAAGACCAGTTCTTGTTTGGTAAAACCAGTTTTCTTTGTTTGTTCTTTTGTAAAACCAGTTCTTTTGTTTGGTAAGACCAGTTCTTGTTTGGTAAAACCAGTTTTTCTTTGGTAAACAGGTAAAACCAGTTCTTTTGTTTGGTAAGACCAGTTCTTGTTTGGTAAAACCAGTTTTTCTTTGGTAAACAGGTAAAACCAGTTCTTTTGTTTGGTAAGACCAGTTCTTGTTTGGTAAAACCAGTTTTTCTTTGGTAAACAGGTAAAACCAGTTTTTTTGTTTGGTAAGACCAGTTGTTTTGGTAAAACCAGTTTTTCTTTGGTAAACAGGTAAAACCAGTTCTTTTGTTTGGTAAGACCAGTTCTTGTTTGGTAAAGCCAGTTTTTCTTTGGTAAACTGGTAAAACCAGTTCTTTTGTTTGGTAAGACCAGTTCTTGTTTGGTAAAACCAGTTTTTCTTTGGTAAACAGGTAAAACCAGTTCTTTTGTTTGGTAAGACCAGTTCTTGTTTGGTAAAACCAGTTTTTCTTTGGTAAACAGGTAAAACCAGTTCTTTTGTTTGGTAAGACCAGTTCTTGTTTGGTAAAACTAGTTTTTCTTTGGTAAACAGGTAAAACCAGTTCTTTTGTTTGGTAAGACCAGTTCTTGTTTGGTAAAACCAGTTTTTCTTTGGTAAACAGGTAAAACCAGTTCTTTTGTTTGGTAAGACCAGTTCTTGTTTGGTAAAACCTCTAGGCCAAACCAGTTCTTGATTCCGCTTTTTCCCGACGTCAGGTGCTACGTGCTCTCGGAACCCGAGAGCCTCCGCGGCTTCCGGCGCCTGGCGCTGGGGGCGGGCCTGCTGGGCCACTGGGCCCCTCGGAGCGCAGCAAGCGACTCTTGCAGTCGCGACGAAGTCCGTTTCGCAGCACCACAAGAGCCACTCAGTTGTTCAAAGCCGACCTTTTGACCTTTGGGTTTTCCCTTTTTGGTCTATTTTTAGTAGAGGTCCCAAAAGGTTAACCTTTTATTTGCAGGTCCTTTGGGCAAGTGAGGCCATCCATGGTTTGTTGGTATGTACAAGGGAATCATCAGAAACCAGGGTTTGCACCACCACAAGAGCCATGGAAACCCAGGTTTGGTGGTACCTAGAGTCTCCTTCTGACCCTTTAAGAATGGTGGGTCATTACCCAAAATCATGGGGTCATGGGGTCATGGACCTATTTTTTTCAAGGGTCATGGAGACTCCAGGTATGTACAAGGGAATCATCAGAAACCAGGGTTTCTCAGGTGCAGGATTCTGTCCACTGGATGTCTGCGGCTGGCTCGGTTCCCAGCCATACGGTTCCTTAGTTTTTGTTTTTTCGTTTAAAGCCACGGCAACTTACACCTGTTTTAGCTGTTTTGTGGGTTTCGTGGACATTTTCACCTAACCCACCTTAAGAGTTGAACTTGTAGCAGGGGATCTCAGGAAGAGCCCAGTTCGGCTTGGGGGCGAGATTCGGTGTCTTCCTTTTGTGAAATGAAGGACATGTTTGCTTATTTTCCCCTGTCGGTTTCAAAGGGAATCTATCACTACTGGAAGTAGGTGATCTGGTTTTTTCTTTTTCCGGGGGGCTTTCGCAGCAACATGGAAGATGTTTGGTTCGCAAATATACTCGCAAAAGGCACCCTTTTTGAGGTCCGAAACCTTCCATGGTCCGGGTCCAACGATGCTTTTGACCGGTTTCATCCATTGGCGGTTTGGGAGTTCCTTGGGACCGACGGTTCTGTTCATGAGAAACATCCAGGTGGACGGGTGAGTTCTGCATGGAACATCCCGGAAGGCAATTATTTAAGTCAGATTGGTTTTTAAGATCCAATATGTCATAGTCAGAAACCACGTACGGGTGTGCTATTCAAACAGTTTGCGGCTCCATGGTTTGAGCTTCTTTGGGAATCCAACATTCCACGCTGTATTTCTTGTTGTCATTCGCCAGGTGGTCTGATTCATTGCCTGTTGGGCCCTTGCGGGTAAAGAATCGGGCCTCTGATCCAAGATCCTAACCCTCAATGTTAACCCTGGATGAAGCAGAACCCTTGGTTGATTTTTTCATCTGGGGGTGTCCAAATATTTTTCGTGGTTGGATTCAAAATGACCACTTTTGCAGGGGTGGGAGGGAGCGCCCTGGGATGGGGGTTTAGCTTAAATCCTACCTCTCAGTTGTTCAGTGCCACCAATTATTTGTCTTCTTCCTTCTTTTCTTGGTGGCGTTTTCCCACGCAAATTCCGCTCCAAGCCCCAAAAAGGGTTCCAATTCTTCTTCTTTTTCCAGGGTCGCTGAAGAACTGAGACCCAAGTCCAGCCCAGGATCGTGCCCTTTCTCACCGTTTTTTTTTTTTTTTTTGGTTTTGGGTTCCCCTACTAAGATAGACCACGGAAAAAAAATTAAGTAAAATCAGGTACCCTATATTCTAACCTCTCAAATCTGGAGGAGACCCTTAAGCTCGTGGACCCATGATTCGTTAGTTCTTGGACATTTGGGTTCTGACGAACCTTGGCCCTTGGCTGCCAAATGTGGAGCATGTTGTGAGAAATTGGTGCTTGCCATTTGCTTTGACCGGGAATTTCTTTCAGGTGCACAAGCAAGCAGTCGGGATGGGTGTCCACGACTTTGAATCACAGACATGGGCCCACTTTCCACAGCCACTTGTTCACCATTTGGTTTTGCACTTTTGTCTTGTAGTTTTGGCCCCCAAAGCGGAATATGGCTGTGGGTCAAAACCAATGGTACCATCTTGGGGTGGGTGCAACACCCTTTGTAGCTTATTTTAGTGGGGATTGGTTGATGTTCACTGGGGGTACGATTTGGATTTTGACCCATGGCCATATGTTGCTTTCCTTCCGGCATAGTGTGGGTGCTTGTATCTCCACCCTAGCACCTGGGTTTTTTGGCGGTTTAAACCATCCCAAAGAGGGATAGGCGGCTTGTCCCTTTGATTTTCCATTGAATAACCATCCCGAAGAGGGGTAAACAGTCTGAAAATTGGACATGACATCATTCCAGTGAGCCCTCCAATCAGACGGGGAGGACTTGGGCCGAAGTCCCTCAGGTGATTCTCCAGGGCATGGATGACTTGGAGCCAAGCTGCTCGGAGGCTGCGAGTTGCATCCCTGGGAGATCCTCAGTTCGTCAGTGGCACTTGTTTCCCCCTTTTCTGACTTGCTGAGTTCATGAACTTTAAACTTTTGGGACTACCATGTTGGTGGTAGACATAAAGTTTGGACTTTTTTTGGGCCATCCACTCAGCAAGTGAGTTGTTTTTTTCGGTGGCTGCCCACGAAAAATCTGGTCCAAGCCCCAAAAGGGTTCCAGTTCTTTTTGTTCCAGGGTCACTGAATACTTTTTTGGTGACTGCGGAGCAATGTGGCTGATGCTTTTTGGTGGCGGCTCTTTCATCGGTCACCTTTGTTGCAACAGACAAGCCGCTTCAACAAGAATGGGGTCAGCAGGTTCACATTTGATATGCAAGCTTCCATTTGCTTAAGAATGTGTTTTGTCTTTTGTTTCCCCCGTTGGCTTTAAAGGGAATCTATCACTACTGGAAACATTGTTATTTTTCCCAGGGGTCTTGAGCAAGTGGAGGCAAGTGAAACAGGTCAAGGGCCAAGGCCCGGATCTCAGAGAAAGTTGCCGAGGCTGCACAGCTCTGCCGAAGTTGAAGCCCTTTTTCTAGCCTCTCTACTGGAGGACCGAGTAACCAAAATCGCATCGCTTCCTTGGGAAAAGGAAGTGCCCAAATCGGAAAGCCAGGCGGCTGGTGTTCCCTCTAAACACTGCTACCGGCGAAGTGCCTGAACAGATTCACCGGGAGTCGCAGAGCGCGTCGGCACCAACTGCGCGGCGAAGAACCTGGGTCCAGCTGGCCTCACCATACTCAGATATGGAACCCCGACTTGCAGAAGAAAAAGGAGGTTTTTGGCAACGTTATATCTTGTACGCACACCAGAATTTCATTTGGGCTGAAGCAACAGTAAGAAGCCAGATCTGAGATAGGTTCATGCACTGAGTCTGCCAGAGCGAGTAAGTCCTTCTTATCATTGGGCGAGGCAGATAAGCCCAGAGAGAGGCATAAGTCCATGTTGCCAAGCGGGCAAGATATGAACCCAAAACAAACTATGCAGGTGTTCTAGCAACTCCTAGAGAAACCTGCATGGTGCCAAACATCCAAATTCAAGTGTCGCATGCATGCCCTGAATGGCACTAAAACCAAGTGGAGTCGCAACTGACAAGAACGACAACCACAACCACGACCACAACAGCAACGAATCCCAAAATGGGTCACTATTGTGTCGAACTTGTTTCATGTTGACCCTGAATCGCAAGCAAGCCATCAATGATGATTCAAAGGGCAAGCCCTATGCAAGGGGTAAGTTTTACAGAAAGCCTGTTTCATACTAATTTTAGTTGCTTCAGTTCGTAATGCCTTTCTTAGTTTATGCATGCCTTACGGGAGGCATGCATGAACTATCTGGCCAAGTACATGCAGCAGCTTTCCCTGTCGCTGGAAGCCTTCCGGGACAAGACTCTCAGCTTGCAAGAAACCGCAATGTGACGACGCGCCTTTGAAAAGGACTAAGGGTAAAGCGAGCTCAGAAAACAGACTTGCACCTGGAGATCCCTTTGCGGTTGGTGAAGTATGGTCATTTTTTGCGGTTGTTGCACTTAACCCTCCTTGACCAAGATAGAGGCTGGCCCTAGTACATAGCAAACATGGGGCAGGTCATGTGATGTTGCCCCCATGGAGATTTAGAGATGGCCGCAACTTGTTTTTGGTTGACTTGGGTGTGTCTTGTTTCAGGATATACCTGTTTTGGCTTTTTTGTGGATGCCGTTTGGAGCGATTGAAAAAGCCTTTGGTCGGCGCGTTTGAGGCGGGAGCCAGAGATCTCCGCGTCAGCCCTTGAGCCGAAAGCTCGGAAGGGGATCTCCGTGTGCCAAGCCGAAAGCCCTGGAAATTTGTTTTTTGTCCAGGGGGCTTAAGCAAATGGCAGCCATAGGAAAAGGGAATCAACCTACCCGTTGAAAAGGCCCCGCCACATGCGGCAATGGGTCAAAAACGTTTTGGGATCCCATTTTGGTTGGTAGGTGAATTCACCACCCATTTTGGAACCTATTTTAGCGGGGATTGGGATGTTCGCTTGGGGTACGGGGTTTTGACCCATGGCCATGCGAAGTTCGGTGAACATGTAGCTTCTGGCTGTTTTGGGAAGGATATGGGGATCTCCCGAACTTCCGGATAGCGGCGGCATATCAGGGGAAAGTTAAAGGGGTTCTAATGGACGGGTTCCAGCTCGCACCAAAAGACCATCAAGTGTGTAGCATCCATGTTCTGGAACACTGGTTGCTTTGATTGGGCTGGGGCTGGGGCTGGGTCCTCGAAAGTTTTCACCTTGAAGGGGCTCTCCGTTCTTTTTGTTGTTTTTTTGCGGGTAGAAACCCGTCTAAAGCACCATATAGACTGAGTCCCCCAGCTAAGTGCCAACAGTTACCAGCTTTTTTTTGGCGGAGGGCTCCCCTAAAATAAACTACAGAAAAAGTTGGTACCCTTATTCTAACCTCTCTACTGGAGGACCTAGTAGAGGAGTTTTGTTGGACAATGTGGTTTTCAGCCACTGGTTTCAATGCGGCGCTGGCTCTTGTCCTCTACTCATCCTAGCCTTTCCCCCGGAGTTTGCTGCGGGCTTTGCTTGTCCAGCGAACAAAAATCAAATGGGTATGGGTCGAACTGAAACCAGCAGAGGACCACAGGGTTTAATCCTTGAGGCTTCCATTTGGGGAATTTATTTTTGACCCACAGCCCTTTTTGTGCCTTTCTTGTGGCTTGCTTGGAATCCCATTGCGCCAGGTGATGGCCCCAGTATTGTGCTTGATCCACCGGACGTCCGGTAACTTTTGGTCCAGATCCCCAAGCCCAACGTTGCGGACGGGTGCCGGAAATTGCTTCCAAGTATCAGGGTGTCTCCCTTGAAATTTGCCAAACGGAAATGGCCCGCCGGCGGCCCGCCTCTTTGAGAGAAATTCTGAGTGTTTTTTTCTTTTGGGGGGGGCCTCTTTGAGAAAGATCCTGAGTGGTGTTTTTATTTTTTTGTGTAAAGGGGGGTTGGTATATATGTTGTTCGGTGTTGTTTCACAGGGAAGCAAAAGGAAACCAGCGGCTCCTCACTCCCTGAGTGTCTGGACTTGATACTCTTTGTGAAGACCAATTTCGTCGTAAACCAACAGCTTGGGACCTTTTGTTGGCCCATGCACTCAGGAAGTCAGACCCTTCCAAGACTCAGTTGTTCAGTGGCACCCTGTTTCCCCTTTTTTTGTTGGCTGCCCCACTAAAAATCCGGTCAAAGGGCTCCCTTTTTTCCCAAGGGCACTGAACAACTGATAACTGAGAAGAGTTCCCGCCACAAAACTCGACAGACCCAAGCGTGAGTCAGCCTTCAGGCAGCTCTTCGCCAAGCTGCCGCCGGGCTCGTTGGCAGGGAGCCCAGCCGATTCAAAGCGAAGCGACCGGATGCGGAGATTTTCAAGGGGTTGGCACCGCTTCAGACGCCACCGGGGAAATTGCAATTGGAAGGAAATGGCCACCCAAAGCCATGGAAATCTGGCGAGTGTTCGTTTCCATGCCCCTGGGGCCAGGGAAAAATCCATGCTGTTTTCGTGTTAGTCATGACCCCAAAAGGTGAGCAGAAAGCGCTTCGAGTCTACTTTCTCCGGCGGGTTGCCGGCACATCCCCCCACCCACCCACGCCGCCCGCGAGCCCACACACCACGCGCCCACGCAAGCACGCGCTCGCTGCAAACCCACACGCACAAGAGGCTGCAAGGTTGCTTGCCCAACCCCCCTGACACTGAGCTGCACTCACCCACCCTAGCTTGAGTGCACGTGTGCCTGCTTGCGTCCGGCAGTTGCGTCCGGCGCGCGCGCGCGCGCCGCACGTGTCTCACACCGA